ATCTTTCTTGTTTCTCTCTAACTCATTGATATTTTTCTTTTCATTTGTTCTTTCAGTGAAGGGTTGTTTCCTTTTTTGGTGTTTTCAATAAAATTTCTCTATGCCTCTTGTTTCTGTCTGTCCCTCTAGTTTGTCTCTACATTTTTTGGTTATTATAAATTTTTTCCCATCTTTTGCTATTGTCTCATATATCTTCCAGTTAGTTGAACGACTAGAAATTTTAGATTTTTAAAAAATTTGAGCTCTATGTAAGTGTTTCTATTTCAATTTTCTTAGTTTTTGTGGGCCATTAATCTGGTTTTGTTGTTTGAAATCACAATCTTACTTCTTTTACCATAAAATTTTTTTCTGTGGAAACTGGAAATAATGATGGTTCCAGAGATAGATAAAGAGAGAGAGAGAGAGAGAGAGAGAGAGAGAGAACAGTCTTTCCCTTTGGGTATTAACTCTATTCCTGTCAAAGCAGAAGCCTCTGTAGAAAAGTCCTTCCCTTTGTTGGAAACGCTTCTGATCTTTCCTCTCCCCATCTTTAATGAGAATCTCAACTACAATGCGTCCCAGCTCATGGACCGTCCTTTACCTGTCTAAACTACATTTCCTCAGAATATTTTGTAGGACCAAAGTAACCTTATGGAAGGGCTTCAAATGCTAATAAAGGTATTGGCATCCTTGGAAATGTACATTTGAGGGTAGTATTGTCATCTTAATAGTAGAAAGATAATATATGAAGAGGCCCATCACCCCCCCTGAACCGTTTCTTATAATGAAGTAATTTTAATATAGAATCTTGGATAAACATCTGACTGTTGGGTATTCTTGTAGTCAGGTGAGTTATCAATTCATTTGCTCTAGTATTATTTATGATGGATGATGATGCTATGACCTGTCTGATGTCTCCTTGTGTGTTTCCTTTAATTTTTAGGAGAATTATACTGAAAAAAAATTATAACTGTTGTTAGATTTCTATTTGAGCCTCCAGAAATGGACAAGTATGGGAGGATGGTGCTGCTTGTATGGTGTGATATGTTACCCACCTTCCAGCTACTTTTATTTTATATACAATTTTGCTCCAAATACAACATTGTTGCTTCTGTTTCTCTGCTTCTACTGAAAATGACTTTGGAACCGATGAGTCAAGACTTACTGCTGAATGGGAAATATGTGATTGAAGTTAGAGATGGTTGGTCCTAAAGTTAAATGAATTAATGAAATTGATCTTTATATATTTGAAGTGTGGAATTGACCTTGAACTTTATGTACAAGCCTTTAAGATGCTGCTTTAATATGATGAAATATTCTCCATCTAGTGGCTGAAATGATTGGATGAAAGAAATGAAAGATTCCTGGTTTTAAAGTTTAACATCTATTTCTTTTGGGATTGAATTGCAGTTTTCTGTAGTTAATTGAGTTAATGAAATTTTTTTTCTGTATCTTAGTTGTTTGAATCATATTTGCAACACCCTATTCTTCAATGTGCTTTAATTCTTTAAATTTCCTTTGGTTTAGCCTATTGTTTGCATACATGGCAATCTTCTCTGCAACTGCTGTGGTCATTAACGTTGTTAATCTCTTATCAAGATGGAAGACCTTTCATTTTTCATGGATGACATACTTGTCTTAACATCTGCCTGTGGATCTCTCTATGCAGAGGCCTTTATTGGTGTGAACATTGGTACTGACCTTTCTGACATGCCCAGCCCCACTCAAGTGGTGGCCCTTCTCAAGGCTCAGAATATCAGATATGTCAGGCTTTATGATGCTGACCGAGCCATGCTCCTCGCACTTGCCAACACAGGCATCCAGGTGACTGTCTCTGTCCCCAATGACCAACTCCTTGGTATTGGTCAGTCAAATGCCACTGCAGCCAACTGGGTAGCTCGTAATGTTATAGCCTATGCCCCTGCCACCAACATCACAGCAATAGCTGTCGGCTCTGAAGTTTTAACTGCACTACCAAATGCTGCTCCAGTCCTAGTTTATGCCTTAAAGTTCATCCACTCTGCCCTTGTTGCTTCTAATCTTGATGGTCAAATCAAAGTCTCTACTCCTCATTCTTCTTCGATTATTCTGGACTCTTTTCCACCTTCTCAAGCTTTCTTTAATCGTTCATGGGATCCAGTCATGGTTCCATTGCTAAAATTTTTGCAGTCTACGGGGTCATACCTTATGCTCAATGTATATCCATATTATGATTACATGCAATCAAATGGCGTGATCCCATTGGACTATGCACTTTTCCGTCCTCTCCCTCCTAACAAAGAAGCCGTTGATGCTAACACACTCCTGCATTACATTAATGTCTTTGATGCTGTTGTTGATGCAGCATATTTTGCAATGTCTTATTTAAATATTACCAACATTCCGATTGTAGTAACTGAGTCTGGTTGGCCTTCAAAGGGTGATTCGTCTGAGCCCGATGCTACAGTTGAAAATGCTAATACATACAACAGTAACTTGATCAAGCATGTGCTTAACAACACTGGGACTCCTAAACACCCTGGTATTGCTGTCAGTACTTACATCTATGAGCTTTACAATGAGGACTTGAGAACTGGATCAGTCTCAGAAAAAAACTGGGGGCTATTTGATGCCAATGGAATACCCGTTTATATTTTACACTTGACAGGTGCTGGTACTGTTTTGGCTAATGACACTACAAACCAAACTTTTTGTGTTGCAAAGGAGGGTGCTGATCCGAAGATGTTACAAGCAGCTCTTGATTGGGCTTGTGGACCAGGGAAAGTTGATTGCTCGCCTTTGTTGCAGGGGCATCCATGTTATGAGCCTGATAATGTGGTTTCTCATTCAACTTATGCTTTCAATGCATATTTCCAGCAGATGGCCAAGTCTCCTGGGTCCTGTGATTTCAAGGGGGTGGCTACCATCACTACAACTGATCCAAGTATTTGACTGATATTGGTTCTTATAAATAAGACCCTAGATATCATAATTTTTCATTTTAATTTTTTATTTTGAGAATTGATGGGCTGGCAACATTAGTGGTTAATGCTATCAAACTTCTTGATGCACACATTCACCGGTGTTTGTATAATCATTGTTACATGCTGCTAATTTGGCCTTTCCAAGACATGTTTGAAACTGAGTCTAGTTGGAATACAATCAAGGTGGCTTTTACAATATGTTTTAAAGTATAATAATTACTTGATGCACTTGTGGTGTTTATTCAATTATTAACCGAGAACATGATTATGAGATTGCATTCTGTCATTTCTCACATAAAAAAAAGAGGCACACTAAGGAAGTTAATAGTTTACCTTATAACACCTATTAACTTAGTTATGTTTTCTATCGGTGCAGGTTATGGTTCATGTTTATTTCCAGGAAGGTATGCACTGATGCTTGTAAATATTACTACTTATTTTTCAAACATGATTATGATTCATATATGATGGCTTTGAAGAAATCTGATGAGGTTACTTTAATTTTGTTTGCAGTATTGGAAAAAACGGCACCGTAATAAATGGCACATCACTTGTTCCTTCCTCAAACTCTACGACTTCAGGCTGCCCATCGCAATATATCTATGGGAATGGTTCTTTCACAACCTCTGTGATAATAGGTGTTTTACTTATGAGTACTGTTTTCTTGTAGAACTTGTTTGTATTTGCCCTTCGGTTTTAACAAATTTCAAATCTTCCAAAAAATTCAATTACGTCTCAGTTGGAATACTTGCAGCATACCCAATTTTGTTTTCTCCTAAGAGGAGTTGAGTTGCAGAGTGGCAAATTTGGCTGAACATATGGACAGCAAGTAGTTTAAAGATGAGTTGTTCATTGTCATTGGATTCTGTACAAACAAACCAAAGATTATTCAAGATTGTTGCTGTGTAGCTATGTTATTGAATTAGGTACATTGGGTTGAAGGAGACAAATGCTATGTGTGATATGCTTGATTTTAGCTCTAAGACATTTTTGGGAATGAGAATTTGAGAGTTTTTCCGACAGAAGCCACTAAATTGCCTATGCATGATAGATTGTTACATCTTATAACTATACATGCTTTGGTACTCAATATTCAACAAGTAAAAAGCAAAGATTATTGGTGGATGTATAAGATTATTGGGTATCAACAAGGAATGATAGAGAAATTATGTTTAATGATCTATTTAGTATTCCTGGATTTTATACTCTGCATATTATAATATGAGTTATACACAAAATACTATTGAAATGTAGGTAGAGTAAGAAGAAAAAGAGCATGATGTTCATGACATTCCTCGATAAGGCACCGCCCCTGTAGTCCATAGTTTGATACTCAAAAGTGCACTACAAGTTCTTATGGTTCAAATGAATAGTTTGCAGTTGAGAACATGAATTTCAAGCTTGAAAATTTGGATGAATGAAAAAATTTTTCACATTTTAATAGTATTTTGTGTATAACTCATTATGCAAATTATGAACTCCAAGAATGCTAAATACTAAATAGGTCATTAAACACAATCTTTTTATCATTTTTTGTATTCATACTTAATTTTTTCAAAAAATTGCTTATAACAAACTCATTTATCAAAGTATAATCTCTTTTTGGCACAACTTTCATAATATATTTTTTTATGCTTAATTTTATACATTTATCAATAATTTTATTTTTTAATTATTGAATATCGAGTGTCAAAATATGTATATAACTATTAGAGGTAAGTAATTTAGTGCTTTTGTTGAAGCAATTCCCAAATTTTTATTTTCAAAAATATCTTCAGTTAAATCAAGCATATCACGACTGGTCTTATTTGGAATGGATTTGCAGTATCCATTTCGATTTGTAGTTCAAGATATTCATTTCATCAAAATATCTTGTTGAGGTACATTTTGTTGTAACTTGCCTGGATTTGTGGAATGTCCATTTAAAATATGTAGTTCAAGGTATTTATTGGATCAGTCAGATGCTGCCTACTCGGTTCTTTCCCAATGTAGGTGGGGGCTATTCTGTAGTTGCTTTTGATGGAAACTCTGAATGGATAGGCCGGCAGAGAAAGGAAATTTATAGTGTAAGTCAGAAAAATGATAGACATGCAAGGAATGTCATTGTTCAACATCATCCGAACTCAGGAATGTTTCATGGCAAACAACGCAAATCCAACCAGTTGATCCCCTAGATCTAATCTGCAGACTGGTGTGCTGCCGGCAGCATGGCTTGTTACAAAAATTACATTTCGAAAGCTGAATCCAACAATCTGAGCAGAGAGTATCTGAGCAAACAGCCTCTTCCACTTCTCCGGGTTTGACACACAGCCCGCATTCTTCACACCTAGGAATGCAAAACTTGCACATCCTACAAGCAGACAGTGAATGATCTCTCTTCCTTTTACAATCCTCCCTGGGACAATCAAAAACAATCCTTACTTCATTGCACTTGGGACAGATTTCCACATCGATAATTGGGCCAAATTCTTCCCATCTATATGCTTGAAACTTTCTGTAAGTATGATAAAAGAGAGACTGCTGCTTTTGCTGAACCTGCTGCTGTATTTGCTTTGTTAGAAGGTAATATTGAAGCCTTTCAAGGTGTTGTTTGTTCATGTTGTAGATGCCGTTTATCTGAAGGCTTTCGAGGCTGTGCTGGTGTACGGACAGTGTCTGCACAGCTCTTATTACTCCATTTGGGGTTAAGCCAGTGCAACCTGGTAGGTACAGCTGCCTCAATATAAAAAAATAAATAATAATATTAATGTCTTACTTTAAAAGTTCTATTAACTGCTGCTAAAAGATTGTAGTCTTAGCCTTGGAGCAAAGTGATATTATACGAATATAATATAAAAAATATATAAAAATAATATGAGTTAAAATTTTAACAAAAATTATATATAAATTTAATAAAAATAAAAATAATAATATTTTTTATATTAATATGAATTTTAACATAAATTTTTTATAAAATTTAATATAAATATATGAATTATCAAAATTTTACAGGGACACATAAAAAATTTTCAAATCTGTCCGAAACCTTTGGAGATATTATGCATTATGGACAAGCATGGATGTTCACCCTTAAATGGCCATTGATGTTCTTTTGCTATCCATCAACCATACTTGTGCATCAAAAAAATTTCGTACTTTAGAGTTGAGTTTGGTCAGAGTTTTGACACATCTAAGACAAGGGAAATAATCCCTGCCACTGAAACCCTATCCATTCATATCCTGAGGGAAACACAATGATTGGCCTCTAGCTCTAGGTAATAGAACTTTAAACCAGGTATAAAGCTATTCTAACATTTATGTGGAATCAAAAGACAAATGGAAATAGAAACTTTCTTGACGTCAAATTTCTTACCTTGTTAATAAGGGGATTTTTGGCAATTACACTTTGAAGCCCATCATCAGTAATCCTGGCACAGTTCATTAGAGCCAAGGTTCTTAGCCTACCATCTGCCTTGGAAGTAATTTTCGTCAGAATCTCGTCAGTCAACCGCACGTTCAAAGGCCTTTCAACAATTATGTTTAGCCATGGCAGTATATCCTTGTTCACTGCTTCTCTCAGTGACTTGCAAACTTCACTCATGGCAAGAAGCTCAAATAAAGGAAGGTAGGCCAAGACAAGAAACAAAGCCTCGTGGGGTGACCCTGGACCCTCTTCTTCAGAACAGAATTCCTTTTGGGAAAGGGGTGCATGTTCCTTGCTCTGTTCAATCTCCATAATATTTTGGTGGTAGGAACTGTTATATGATGGAATTATATATAGAGAGACCGTCATCCTTAACAAAGAAGTAAAATCATAATATGCCAAAACTTGTAAAAAAAAAAAAAGAGAAATAAAATGAAGTTGACAGGAAGGGAATATCTAATATTGGCAATTTTAAAATTTAAAATTTAAATTTCAGCATTTATAATTTTTTTCATATTTTCAGACAAAAAGAAAAAAAGCCATTTGTTTTCTTTCATTGTAATAAGTCGGCAAGGGTTTGTCAAAATGTTATCCATTTTTCTTTCTTGCCCTCGAAGGAAGTTAGCTAATGCTGCCAAGAGTTGAGCTCCAGATTATGTGATCCATAGTTTTCTAGTTGACCGGCTTTAAATCCAATTACCATATAAAGTGAAATTTTAGTTAAAAAAATAATGAAACGTCAACCTAAACAAATTTCGAACAACCTGTTCACATTCATCAATTGCTCCAAATACGCATTACAGAAAATTATGTTATCGTCTGCATACTGTAAATGAGAAACATCTAGTCTGCCATTACCAACCTGCCAACCTTCAAACAGCGCCAAAGAGCAAGCTCTTTGACATAACAAACTAAAACCTTCAGAAACGGACAAAGTGGGCATCCTTTATAAGCCTCTCCGCGTATGAAACTGAGCAGTAGGTGAGCCATTTACCAAATTTGACAACTAGACCGTTGAAATACACTGACGCATCCATGGTCGCCACTTTGCCCCGAAGCCCATTTTTGAAAGAATCAAATCCAAAAAGTTCCGATCAACACCATCATAAGCTTTTCCAAAATCAACCTTTCTTCAAGGTATCAATAAGTTCATTTTCATAAGGAAACTGTCAAAATAAAGGCAAATTGATTCACTGCTATAACAAGATCAATAACTTTCTTGAACCTGCTCGCTAGGACTTTTGCCAAAACCCTATAAAATACATCCCTCCATACATGTAGGTCGATGCTCTGAAATGCAGTTTGGGTCTGAGTCTTTGGTATCAAGGTGATAAAGGAAGAATTAAAAGGTTATTGCCCCATTAATTGAAAACGATAATATTGTTTTATCTAGAATGAATGGAGAACATTTGATAATAACTATACAAAAATTGATACCAAGCAATGTGGTAGAAAATTTCAAGGTTAGTAATTCATCCAAACATTGGCAAAGGCATGTGAAAACCAGACACCTTTTGCGTCTCTATAAAGTATAAAAAAAATAAAAATTAAGAGCAGGAAATTGGCAGAACCTAACACTCATTTATACTTTAAGCACTCAGCAATACAACATCAAAATTGTAGAACCAACAATAGACATGTTTATCAGTTTCGAGTCTCTAGTTGTACATGTAACTTTAAAATGGAAACTTGTAAATTTGTTACCAACGCAGGAAGCCTGTAGAACACAAATCTGTTGAAACCATCAATGGTTTAAAGGCTCAACAGCAGTCTTGAAGAGAAGGATGTAAACCTTGTCGATTGAAAAATACAAGAAACCCCCTAGTGAATGTGTGACATATGAGCCAAAGCTAGTTCCCACAATGCAGTGCCAAGCAGGACCATATTTTGAGTCAAATTCCTGAAAAGCCATCATCATGGGCTATTCTTATATCAAAGTAAAAATAAATAAATCTAGATTATTAAAACCCTACAAGATTTTAGACTACATGGTTTTAGCAAACATTTAACTGATAAGAATCAAAGATTCAGATAAGCTCAACCTTACACCCACATATTCACCCATTACCGTACAAGTTAGAGTCCTCGCATTCTCTCTCTCTGTATCTTATCTATTACTGTCTTTTTTTCAACTAACAAATTTCTGAATTCTCTCTGTCTCTCTCTCTTTGGTTCAGTTAACATTTTCTGCAAAAGAACCTACATAAACTAAAATTCTTAGAAGTTCCAAGTTAGTAGCTCAGAAGCTAGGACCAAAACTAAGTACAACCAGTTTCATTATCATCTCCACAGCAAAGGACTGGAAGACAGAACTGAATACCCTATCTGTTTAAATTGAGACACAAGTGATTACTCTAAGTCAAATGAGAGGTTACTCTCAAAGCAAGTATACCATAATATTGTCAAAAATTGCCTTAAAGAGCAGGTGATTAAATGCTATGAACCATACTAAGCTTTAGGACGGTAGTGTTTTTTTTGGGATCACCGAGGACTGTAGTTTTTTGTTATATATTTTGTAAATTTACATGGCTTAGTCATGAAGCTAGCCTTAAAAGGTAGCACCTATAGGTCTAGGGTTTGAATCCTAGCAGCGGCAACCCTTTCCCCTACCCTCAAGCTATGGTCTCATATATACCCAAAAAAAAATTACATGGCTTAGATTTGCTAGCTTAGATTCAGAGTATGGACAACTAGATGACTCGTTGCCAACAGAATCACAAATAAACAGGCTTCATACTCCTAGTGTGGCTAATAAGGAAAGGTCCCTTACAAACCATTTTCAAAGTGTACAAACCGATGCAATTGCAAGGATGATATTTGTTCAATCCCATCCCTGGCAAAAGAGAGCACATAAACATCTTGTACTATATCAAACCGAAACCAATGCAATTGCAAGGATGATATTTGTTCAATCCCATCCCTGGCAAAAGAGTGCACATAAACATCTTGTACCATATCAAAACCGATAAGCTACATCTTCTTGCAGCGGGAATGATTGGTTGAGCAATGGGTTAATGCTATATACCTCTGGAATTGATATGAGCATTAAAAAGCAGGATAGCAAGTTCAATACAGTACAAAAAAGACAAAGAGGAAAGAAAATAAAAGAAAGGGATAATATCTTCACTTAAAACTGAATTTAAGACAAAATTTGGCTTGCACAACTAGAAATAGAAAAGTTTCCAACAAATTCTCACTAGGACCATTAATATCTTTAATCCTATACAGCCAAACCCCCTAAAAGAAAATCATAAATCCAACTATAACATTCAACCTTATTCATCCAATCCTCTTTACCACAAACACACCAAGTTAAACCCATAATACACCCAAAAAAACCTACTTTATCTAACATTATGCAAAAAAGAAAGTACCTTAACATCGTGAAATTTGCCTACATGCAAATGTTAAAACTATGTCAACCAAAACAATGAAACGAAAAAACTACGCAAACCCATTAAGTCTATACATCACAAACAATAATATAAACAAATAATTACTGGGAATGAAAAAAGGACAAGAAGATCGAATTTTTAACCTTTTTAAGAGCAAGAGCTAGGCGTTTACTATCAAGCTTTCCAGGCATAGAGTCAAGCAGTTCTCGGGCACATCTAAAAGCCTTGTTTTGAAGAAGTAAAGGCATATCAGAAGCTCTGACTTTAACATTGAAACTTTCATTTTGCTCTTGTTGCTCTACAGCTTTCTTCTTTTGAATCAAACTGTTCAAGAACTTGCTTCTCCTCTCTAACTCCAACTCTGCTCCCTCCATTTACCTCTTCCTTTTTTTTTCCGTCTTTTTTCAATTTCTCATCAATATCAGAAATACCCAGGAGAAGTTAAAGATCAAAGAAGCTAAAGAGCAAAAGAATTTCTCGATTTCTCAGTTGGCAATCCTATGCTTGCCACTTGTTTGATAAAAAGTCTCAAACAAAAAAAAAAAAAAAAAGAAGCAAAGGTATTAAAATAACAGAGCTGATGTTTCAAATAACAGTTAGTAAAATATTAAGTTTTTTATTTGTAGGGCTTGGGGTAGAGGGGACCAAATCAATTAAAATGAATAGCATAGTATTATTTTATTGGGGAAAATGGGGAGTGAAATTATGAAAAATGATGCCCAACTCCACTTAAAATATTATCATCATTGTCAATTGGTTAGATTGGCTGATAATTAGAGGACAGAGTTTTGATGGTTTTTTTTTTTTTTTTTTTAAAGGAGGCCTTGGATTGGAATAAATGATGATTATATGTGGTTAAATTTGAATTTAAAATTTTTAAATGTTCTTTTTTAAAATAATTATTTAAATTAATTGAATTAAATTTTAAATTTAATTTTTAAAGTAATTTTAATTACTGCTATTTTAATTTAAAATTTGTATACTATTATTATTTACAAGTAAAAGTTTAGAGAAAGATAGTAGGAAAATTGATTTGTTATCATTTTGGGTAAATGCTTAGCTTACAAACTTGCACAAAATTTTAAGATAGCTTGTTGACATTAAATTTATCATAAATGGTAATGCATGTCCAGAAGAAATGCCTTAGCCTTTGATGTCACATCCTCATTTAATGAAATTAGGTTTTTGAATTCTTGAAGATTAAGGGATTAAAGAGGAGAAAGACATTGATGCAATAAATGGTAAAGAAGGACTTGTCTGACTTACCAGAAAAGAAAAAAGTGCTTGTGAGTATATCTAATATCTTAGCTCAAAGTGAAAGTTTTTCTAGAAGAGTGAAAGAAAGTGATAGATGAATATGCATTAAATAAAGATCTAGAGGTGTTTGAGATTTAGTTTAGTTAGTTGATAGTAATTTTTTTAAAATATATTTAAAATTTAAAATTTTTATTTGTAAAAAATATAAAATTTATAGAGTATTAAAAAATATAAAAAATATAATATTGACAGTACTTAGAGATAATAACAAATTAAATTGAAGCGAGTTTTTGCTCATTTGAATTTTACCAGATTTTATATAATAAATATATGAATTCGATTTGATATTAAAATATTATTTTTTATATATAATTTATATATGCATAAAATCATAATTAATTTAATTTGATTAAAAAATAAAATATTATTTTTATTATAAATAAATAAATATAAAATTAAAAAAAAATTATATATATCAAATTTGGTTAAGACGAATTTGCATAAAACTCGATATCAATTCTAATTCTTACCTAAAAAAATTTTTAATTTATTCTGAAACCTAATTAAAAAAAATTAGTCTTATAGGATTGAGCAATGACAATTGAACATGGTTTTAAATCACTCCCACAAGAAACTTAAGTTGAATTCAACTTTGTCCATAGTTTAGTTGGTAGGTTGGTTTGAAAGAAATCTTCTTTTCTCATTCTTGTTTTGGTGCATCAAGGGAGATGCTGCACTTTGTCTTTTGGTTTTGTTTCAAGCCAATCTCAGTAATTGTACTACTCCTTTGACATGACAAGTTCAAGAAAGTTGCTACTTGACCATTGCTCCTTCACCTTACTGTTTTACTAGTACTTTGTTTCTTAGATGTTACAACTTAACCAATTATCCAAATCATGGTTTTTTGGTTTATTGTAACATAAATTTAATAAAAATTAAAAAATATATTTATATTTAACATAATAATACAATTTATTATATAATAATTTAAATATTGTATATATTTAATAAACAATACATACGAAATAAATTCATGAATTACATATCTAATTTAAAGTGAATTAAAATTTGGGACAATATCAAAATTAATTAGTGTTGAAGTTTGGTTAGTAGACATAGAATAAAAATTAAAGATAATAATTATTTGAATTTGATCGAATTTAATTTGATTTTTGAAATAGTATATAATATTATAAATTTTTAAAATTTAATTTAAATTTAAATCAATAAAAATTAAATTTGACAAGTTTGATTCGATCATATTTATTAGTTTTTAAATTTAATTTTTTATATATTTAAATAGATTATATATAAAATAATATTTTTATTTTATAAAAATTTTAAAAATATATAAATATATATTTCGATTTGATTTTTTTATATTTTAATATATATTTAATATCTGATTTTAATTTAAATCAAATCAAATACTATAATTTTAAATCAATATATTTATTTTTTTATTTTATTTTTTTATCTCACCCCTAATAGAAAACTCTGTTGTGAAGTTTTGATGCTTAATCGATTTCTTTTGGGCAATATAATTTTTCTAATGGGTCCCCTCTATTTCTTTTGGGCAAGCAAGTGGCAATCACAGGTAAAACAGAAAGTGTGATGGGCCCACAAGTGACACTCGACAGTCCGCACTACATACGAGGTTGGCCTTGTTGCTATTCCATTGCCCTTCTAAAGGGAGAGTTTCATTTAAGGGAAGACAATTTCACCCCGCTTAAATGTTGGATTTTGAATCGGATAGAATTAAATAATAATAAAAAAATTAAAATTAATTCGGATTAAATTTTAAATAAATTTGATTTAATTTGACTTATTATATATAAAAAATTATTTTTAATTATTTATTTAATGTTATTTATATATATTATATTTATTTAAATTTATATTTATATTAAAAATAATATTTTTTTAATTTTAAATCAAATCGATTTAAATATTAATTTATATAATATCAAATTAAATTAAATTAAATTATAAAAAAATCATTGAATCATATTAAATTTAAATATTATATATATAAAATCGAGATAAATTTAAAAAAAAAAAATTTTTCGTTTCGATCCTATTGTCATAATTTCAGTGCCTCAACTTGCCGATTGACCTAACCATTCATTTGCTTTTACTGTAATAGTCATCGATTTATCATGAGCAATCTTAGCTAGTACACAGAAATATACTAAAGAAAACGAAAGGATATCATTATTCATAAATAGTGATTTCCCTTTTTTTTTTTTTAAATATTGGCTTAAAAATTTTTTTTAGCTAAAATTGAATGATTATCTAAAACTTTAATTATTTATTACCATCAATTAAATTTTTAAAATTTTATTTTTATTCAATTAAATTTTTAATTGAAAAACAAAAAGTTAAAAGGCTTTCACTGTCAAATAGGTCAAGTGATCCATTTTCGCTGAATTGAGCTTTTTAAGGATTATAATTAATTATAAGAATTTAGATAATAATTTCTGAATTTAAATGATTCCCGAAATTTTTTTTTTGTTGTAAGACACATATTAGCATAAAAAACCTTTATTTTTAATAAAACAGTGTGAATTAAAAATATAAATTATCATTTAATTAAAATTAAATATGATTTTTTTTTATATTGATATGTTATCATATGGTCAAAAAAATAATCCACCGTGGCATGTCATCAACGAAATGTCATGCTATACAAATTAACTACAAAACGTTAATATCATTATTAATCATCCTTATTTTTAATAAATTGCATGAATTAAATTAATTAAAATGAGGTGCAATCATGCAAGAAGTAAAACTCCGAATTTAAAAGAAATTCAACTTTGAACACTTAATATTTAAGTAATATAAATACACATCACATAAAAAAATGAAATATAAAATTATGCATCATATGTTTGATTATTATTTTATTAATATATAGATCAAATTTTTATATATCTTATGATTTTATATAAACAATACCACCATTTACAGACCTCGTCAAACCTTAGAATCAAAACACAAGGAAAATCCAATATCGATAAATATAATTACGCGTCAAACCTTGAACAAAGATCATCCACTTGTCTCTTCTTCATCGGCTCATGCCTTCCTCCACCACTGGTGGGATTGGAGTCATAGCCACTTCACGATTTTGCTTCTCCATATTTCCATGCCACCCTAAGCAATTTCAACAAACACCCAACCAAAAAGAATTAAAATTTTATATGAAAGCATTATTTTTTTTTTTTGTCTTGATTGAACAATTAGGGGAAGTAGTTTTGTTACCTATGGATAGGTCGTAACCGCGGGTTTTGAGCTCACGGTACTCTTGGCACAAGGCGCAATACTCGCAGAAGCAATGGACAAGGCAATCCCCGCAAGGGTGTTTCTTCAGCATGTACTGTTGCCTCATTTTTGATCGATAAAAGCATGAGTAGCAGCATGGACATCCAATCACACAGGCTATTAGGGTGTAAAGTGCTCCATTTATCCCACACGCTGCAACCAAATCCATAACCAATCCCCCATCAACCCTCATGTAACTTACTATATATAATAACTATTCACCAGCTATAACTATAAACATCGAAATGGAATCAAAGTATCTGCATCTATGATCCAGCCACAAGAATTTCAAAAAAAAAAAAAAACTTCAAGCCAAGTTGTAGTGGTTATTGTTTTATTACTTACATGATGATCCTTTATCAACAATCTCAGCAATCTGGCCAAAGGTGACGCACGGGCACCAACATGTTATGCAACCTGAAAGAAGAAGAAAAAAAAAAGGACAATCATTCCCCGAAGAGCGTGCGTACACGCGCCAGCAGAACACCACCGTGTGATAGGAAAATTGAACTTACAGTTTCTCCAGTCAGAGAAGCAGTCACAGAGCCCTGTGGACCAAGGAACTCTAGTTTTAGTCTGGAGATGGGTTTTGGTATGAGAGCTTTCGGTGTTGTATTGCTGTAAGGGGGCGGAGGAGCTAACTGGAATTCCGGTGGTGGCAGCTGCTTTGCCGAACTGAGGCGGTGAAGCTGAAAACTTTTCATCGCCACTTGGGTAAAGGGAAGCCATAGCTATAGCGCTGTAGTATTGGATACAAAATATAAAACTATTGCAAAAAATATATAGTAACACAAAATTTAATGGATTAATCGATGCCAAAGAAGATATTTTCTTGGAAAAGAAGACGTTAGGCACCTGTTTGGATTGGAAGAATTAGGGAACAATCCACTGAGTCACGGAGATACAGATATATTTGGGCGCTAGACAAGTCAACAGAGCAAGAAGGAACAATTGAAGTCTTCGCACTTGTTCTCTCGTCCTTGAGGTTGCGAGGAAACTACAAGAACCCTGTGGACCGTATGCCACGAGGCAGTTTTTGATTTGCTAGCCAACTGGAACTTTTCTATGGTGTTTTTTTTTTTTGGAAAATTATTTGGGCACGCAATATTATTTTTTTGACAAAAGGTCAAAACACTGAAAGAGATGTTAGTGCTGGGACAAGAAAATTTTAGTGGTTAGTGCCTTAGTGGGACAAGAAAATTTTAGTTTAACCAAGCAAAGGAAGATTTGATAGATTTTTCCAAAGAAAATTCCATACGTAATGAGTGTAACCTAGCTAGTTTCCTTTTATTTTCTTTTGTTTGAAAAATCAAATAACTTCCTAAGAAAAAAGAGTTGAGTGACTTTCAATTCAGACCTTTTCTTTCACCATTTGATTTAATGGTTAAAAGACTTTGAAAAAAATTTGCAACGTAGATTCTAATTTTGTCGTTTTTTTTTTTCCCTTTTGTAAGGATTTTGCCTTCAATTTAATAAAAAAAAAAAATTTCAGACCTCATTAGGTGACAAACAAAAAAAAGTAGTCGTATTAGTATTAAAGGTAGAAAAAGTCATGAGTATTGCCATGCTAATATGTAAGTAATTAAGTCCTCTAGATTTTTTTTTAAGAGAAACTTGTTGAGGTTTTTTTTTTTTTTTTTTTTTTTTTTTTTTTTTTTTAATCTTAAGAGGGAATAGGCACATGGTTTGATTGGAGGATACGTCTGATATATTTAAAAAAAAAAGTTTAAAGGGATATCAGAGAGTCATGAGCTGCGTTTCAATGCTTAATTTAAGTATTTGAGTAAGGAAGAAGGTTAGGAGAATATGGAAAATAACTTGGAATGATGGGAATGGAGATGGTCTTAACTTCCAGCTCCTTATCCGGAGGTTTTTATTCTTCCTGTGCATGATGTGGACCAAGTATATTGCATGCCTGCCTAATTAGGTTTAGAGATGCATTTAATCTAAACAAATTATATAGGTGGCTAAATGAACCAATGGCCCGGTACGGTACTATTTTATATTTGGCATAGTGTTATAATGGGTTGGGTTGGTCCAATACAAAAAATATATTGATGGTGCTGTTGTGTTAGTTCATGGGTTATCAAATAATTTTTTAAAAAAATGTTTTTACATTAATTTTTTAAAAAAGTTGAGTTTTTATATATATATATATATATATATTATTTTAGTGACATATATGAAAAAATTGGAAACATGATTTACATGATTTGTCTCAAAATGCTTACGTTTATGGAAAAATGGAAAGTTTTTTACTATGAATAAATAAATTTTACAAAGATTAATTAACTAAAAATAATAAATTTTACAAAATTTTCTTCCAATAATATAATTTTTTTTCCAATGATACATCTTTTTTTAAGCAATATTCAGCATTTAACCGATTGATCTTTATGAGTTTTTAAAAAAAAACAAATCGATCCTTTTAAATCTAGATCAATCCTTTTATCTTGTTATAATAAAATATAGCATTCTATTAGAAAATGAATAAATTTTTTTTAAGAATTAATTGATTGTATATTTTTATCAGTAAAATATGAATCTTGTCATGCTGGTCTATATTATGGGTCAACACTTGACCAATCATAGCTCATGCTGTACTAGCTCATGGGCCTTGAAATGCTCAACCCAGCACGACATGATTAAGAAGATCGAGCTTGGCTTGACATCCTTGTTGTAATAAAATGGATCATGCTGGCACGACCCATAAAAGCGTGGGCCGTATCGTGCCATTGATCGCTTGTCCATTTTGCCATCTTTAATAAAATATGTATGATATTTTCAAAATTTACCTTAACTATTCTCTTTATCGTAAAACTTTTTGGGCTTAATCTTATCATGAACTGTGGGCTTATTAGGTTCAAAACAAATTTTCTTTTGTTAGGAAAAAAATTAAGTAATATATAGAAGCACCGAAAGCCAGAGATGTTTTTTGAACCAAAGACGGAATGAACTTTATAATAACCAAGTACACAAATTTGAAATTACATTGTAATTATGGCATACAATTCAACAATTATTATTTTTAAAAAGAGGTGAAATTACATTTGTTTTATCACAATCCTTTACAAGACAATTCGTAAGTAGCTATATTCTCAAGAAGAGAGATCATAAAATCATCGCTCTTTATCTTTTCATGCCACTTTCCACCACTGGAGCCGTTCGCATTGTGCCATTTTGGTGCCTCTCCATGTTTCCATGCCATCCTAAATTTTCCCAAAAAATAAAAAAAAAAATAAAATTACCCAATTGAGAGAAATACGTACATACATACATATATATATATTCGAATCTTACTTTTTGATCCGAAGATAAATACATTGATTATTAAGTTAAATTAAGTTGAATGTTAATTGATTACCAAGTGACATATCGAATCCACGGTTTTTGAGCTCGCGGTATTCTTGACACAAGGCGCAGGTCTCGCAGCAAAAATGAACGAAGCAATCATCGCAGGGACTATCCTCCAACATGTATTGACTCTTCATTTTAGAGCGGTAGATGCAGGAGTAAATGCAAGCACTCCCGGTGAACCAACCAAGTAAGGCGTAGAGGGCTCCATTTGTTCCGCAAGCTGCAGCACCACGTTGTTACACCACCAAACCATAAAAAATATATATAAGACAAATTAAAATAAAGAATCTATGCACATTATTCTCGTCACTTACTTTCACTTCATGAACAATTTGAATTATGATAAGTTTCTCATGTCTGTTGACTAAGGTAAGGTAAGGTTTGGATTCTATCATATTTCAGTGTAGTATGATTGAGTTAATTGTACCATCAACTAAATCTAAATATAAATTTCAATGATATTCATTTAACTTAAATTATAAAAAAAAAATTTTCAATTATAATTACAGTAAATTTATTTTAATTATAATTATAATAATTTTTATTATGATTTTCAATTTCATCGAAATCAATCTTATCGTCCATTTAAATGGAGCATAAATTTATATCTAACTACATATGTTAATATTTTTAATTGAGTTTTATCTATTTATTCATTTTGATTTTGATTTTCAGTTTTAATTCTCTTTTAATTGTTTCTAATAACAGACTCCACCATATTAAGTAGAAACAAACAAAACGAGAGGAAAGAATGCTTATTTTTTTCAATTAATCCTCCTGCAAGGAACGTCCTATTCAACCAAAAAAAAAAAAAACTTACAAGTTGATCCTTGATCGATGATCTCAGAAATCTGGCCAAAAGTGATGCAAGGACACCAACATGTGATGCAACCTGAACACATTTCAACAATGTGAATGAGGAAAATATATTAATCCAACTTAAAATCTTCAAATACGGCCATATTGGGCTCAGAAAGAAACAAAGAAGATCATAATTCAGAGCTTACAGTTTGGAACATCGGAGAAGCAGTCACAGAGTCCCGTCGACCAAGGGACATTCCCTGCAGGCGGCTGCATGTAATTTTGAGTAGGATAGTTCGGCCTGTTCGGGTTTATTGAGGTAATCGGAACACCAATTACTGGAGCCTCTTGCCCAAAACGAGGTGGCAAAGGCAAGTTTTGCTGTTTTGCTGAGTACATGGCGTTGCCTGGTATTGATTTCACAAAAAGATGTTCAAAGAAAGCTGATGGGATTATATAGAAACTACAAGAAATAATGTTAAATAATCTAAGTGCAAAATGGTTCGAAATAATCTTTGCGAGGTTTGTCTGCTGCAATGGTTGATGAAGTCCTTACCGTATATATTTCGTGGCAGACCAACGAACTTTGGAATACGTTGGCAACAAATTATTAAAAAGCTGGTAATTCATGATAAGTTTTGTACTTAATTACTGGTAAACTTTCTTTTTTTATAATTAAGATATCGCGACTGAAATAAATAATTTAATATTTTATTAATAAATTATACTATTATTGATGTAAAATTTCATTAATTCCAGTTAATTGTAATTTGAATATGGTTATAAGTTATAACTAATGTCTTAATTACAACTCAAAAGTGAAGATGAAAACGTCAAAAATCTGTTCTATCCTATATAAAATTTTCGATTGAAGCACTTGGTTAATGCCGTTTCAGCACCAGTGAGCGCGCTGATAACATCGACAATGGCCTGTTTTGTTTACCAAACCAAGAAAACTGACAACCTGATAAGGATAATATAAAGATTTTTTTCTTTGGCTGAAGTACTTAGTAAGGAAAAATATTAGGTGAGCCTTTAAAATATGGCATTGATTGATTCAGATATTATTGGGATAAAAATGGAAAAATGATGGTAGCGATTGATGGTCAATACGTGTCTTTTTCTGGGATTACATGTGCTGCTAGCTGTGCTCACGTAAATGGTCCTTCTAAGTGTAACAGATATTATATATTCTACAAACTTATTTAATTTTTTACTTCAATTTTTATTTTTTAATTATTAAAAAATAAATATAAAAAAAAATTATCATAAAAAAAAATTACAAACATATATCAAATTAACGACGAAAAAAAATATATTTTTTGAATAATCTAAATTTTATTATTCAAAGAAGCAGAATTCTGGTACTATTCAATTACAATTATCACAGACAATCAAATAATCAACTGTTATTATCTACACTGTCTATTACCTATCATTAGCTTCCTTGTCATTCATTATATTAATGCTCCACCTAGCACATAATTCCTTATTTATTAGATCAACAGCAACTGAACGTAAACCATCCAAACTGTTCTTCACCGTTTCCTTGACTCGATCAATCACACATCAAGGTTAAAAAGTTAATTGAAATAATTTAAATTGGACAATGCTATATACATATTAAAAAAAAAACAACTATATTTGCATAATTGTTTATGATGATATTTTAAAAGTAAAATTATTTTTCATTAAATTAAAAAGGAATTTTTTATAAAAATAATAAAAATTTAAAAAACTATTAATGAATAGTGTTGACACCTCCAAGTGGGGCACGTAATTATTGTATCAAAATGGTACACCATATTTGTTTCTTAGTATCTCTTGCAACTTGTAGTTGTTAGTTGATGAAGTTTATACGATGGTTCAATTGATTCCTGGACGCGGGGCGATTACCCCATTTGTTATAGTCTAAGACGCGCATTCAAATATGGCGGCTTTTGACTTGTATTCTCTATTTAATGTATGTGACCTACTTTCTTCAATCTATGATGAGGTTTATCAACTTGATTTTTCATTTTTTTTCTTATGATATCAGCAAACTTTGTCTCTTTGGTCTTCATGTCTATAAATAGGTAGGTTTCACTGGCAAAAATCCATAGAAACAAACCTTTTCTTCTTCCGATATTGCTTTTTTTGCTTTAGAAAATTTTCAAGACAACTTCACTTAGCATATTGATCCAAGTATAGCTAAATTCCTGAATCATGAATTCATCAATCCCCAATGCTTCTGTTTATGGTGAGAAGACCTCATCAGGGCAGCCTCATGGTGAAGTTCCTTGGTCTGTCGGATTCTGTGATTGTCTGTCTGACATGAAAACCTGTAAGCCTTTCTTTTTTAATTTCCCTCAGGTTTAGTTTTCTTACTTGGGGTATGTCTTATATGTTAAAATGCTGATAAAATAATAAATTTTAAACTTTCAGGTTGCATTGCTTGTTGGTGCCCCTGCATCACTTTTGGCCAGATTGCTGAGATTGTTGACAAAGGATCAACCTGTAAGTTAATTCATTCATAAGTTGAATTTTTTTAATGATATTAAGTGCATATATATTTATAATTAGAGACGATTTTCTAAATTGAAAAAAACTGGTGGCGATGCAGCTTGTGGTGCAAGTGGGGCACTATACACATTAATAATGTTCATCATCGGCTGTCCATGCTTGTATTCTTGCTTTTACCGTTCCAAACTAAGGAAGCAATACAAGCTGGAGGGAGGCGGTTGTGGTGATTGCATGCTTCATTTTTGCTGCGAGACTTGTGCCTTGACTCAAGAATATCGTGAGCTCAAGAACCGTGGATTCGACATGTCCATCGGTACGTAAACCCTCCTAATTTATATTACATCAAGTCGAAACTTTCTTCATTGTTTTGATGTCTTAATTAATTTTATGGGGATATATATGTAGGTTGGCATGCAAATGTGGAGAAGAATAAAGAACTGGCGATGGCTCCAGTGGTGGAAAAAGGGATGAGCAGATAGATCAATGATTTGCCATCTTCGTATATGTCTCCATCAATGTGCTTGTTACCATGCATGTTCTTTACTTTTTCTCTCTTTTTTTTTTCTTAATTTTATTTTCATTTCCATGTGAGGATTTTATTGCTTGTAATAATTTAATTTAAAGATGTATTTGGTGTTGTTTATATTAATATGTGATCAGTGAATGAATTGGTTTCCGTCTAGCCAATCTCTTCAACTCTACTTTAAAATTATTAATATTAGATCTTCGTGAATGGTGGCCCAACCATATCGCACCGGGATCAGTTTGAATGCAAATGGACCCTAAAAAATCACAGAATTTCTTGAAATGCCAACTAACTGTGGGCGTGACCATAAATTAATGACTCAATGCCGCCCATACTCTCAAGCAGCATCACCTAAGATGACAGATTTTAAAATATGGCTAAAACTTTAAACTGAAAGAGTAAAACCAAAAACGATCAGCCCATATCTTGAGTCAATTTTGAATAGTATAATAATTACCTAAAAATCGAAAGCTAATAGTTAAGATCTAATAATTTAAAATATAATATGATATTATAAAATGATAAAGAATAAAAAAATAATATAATTTAAAATATTAACAATAATTATATATAAATTAAATAAATATTAAAAAAATTTATATTTTTATGTCAATATAAATTGTAATATATAATTTTTATGTATAATATGATATAAATACATAAATTTTAATATTTTACACGATACGTACATATAAATTATTAAATCTACTAATAATAATATATCTGGCCACTAAATATCAAAGCTGTCAAATAAGTTAGATTTTTGTAGATAGAATCAAGGGATTAACACAAGTCTCACTTGATGTATTTTCTATATGCATATTCCTGTATTAGACATTTGCAATACACACTGAAATTTCAATCAAATATCACCCAAAATCACATTTGTTGCCTTCTAATTAAACCATAACAAATTTATTAATTATAAAATAATTTTAGAAATCACCTACCATCGATAATAACATTTTTTTTTTCATAGTTTAAAATGCGATTCAGATTGGTTTCTAAAGCATTAATTTTTAATCACTCTTATTACCTAAAATCACTATATGCAAGTAGAAAATTTAAGTTATTATATGATAAACAATAAATCACATTAAAATTTTAAAGAGATCAGCTGTATCAAACAAAATGCCATTTTCATAACTGGATGAAATGCAGAGAGGAGCTAAGATTTTTATTGAAAAATTAAAGCTCATTCAATTGGGACTCCATATGAGCCATAGATCGGAACTCCTTGCATTTGGCAGGACGTTTCATTTTCGCTCCGGGCCAGCTTGCTTTATCCTGTCACATGGATCAAAAATCTGTTTGCATATCAATAATTTTGCTTTTTCTGTACATAAAATAGCTGAATTGTGTCCCATTGAAGATAAAGCTTTACACGTTAAGTATTCTCTCAAAGGTGAATGTGGACATTTAATTTTTAATTTTAAGTTAATATTTTATAGTATGAATTTCAATTAATGTAGAATTTGATTAAAAATTTTAATTTAAAATATTTGATGAAGATTAAATGGTTAACAAAATTAACATTTACCTAAACCCTAAATCCTAAACCCTAAACTAACTTTATTCTTTGTACATATCATTTTAAGAAATGTAGCAATCTTGTAGTACATACATCTTAGAATTCATATCAAATTTTCCAAATTAAAATTATTTCCCATACTTCAAATTCAATTGTTTACCAGTGACTTTTTGTAATTGGATGAATTCTAATATATTTGGAAAAAAATATTGCTCAACATGATAATTTTAAAATATATTTTAATAATATCAAAAATTTTTTCAGTGTAAGAATTATATTATTTGTACAACTAATATTCTTATTTTCTTTTGAATAAGTGAGATTAATTGATGCATATTTTGAGTTTTTAACTTAATGAAAAAAGATTTTTATCGTATCAAAATTATCATATTTTTATCATTAAATTTTGATATATTTTTTATTATTAAATAAATATTGATTCAAATTTATATTATAAAATATATTTTTAATTTTGTTACATATTTTAATTTTTCATTGAATTTTATCATTTAATCGATTTAAAATCTTTTATTAAAATTTTTCTCGAATCTTTTTTAATTAAAAACTTAATGAATCTAACAACCTTCATCCAAGGTTATACCCATTAAACCCCTATTCTCTCTCGCTTACGGTCCAAATGAAGCATTCAAACTCATATTTCAAATTTTGTTGAATAAAACAAAGTCACATTTCAGTGTAGCGTTTACTTAGAAGAAAGGAGTTGGCAACTCGGAACTCTCAAATTCAAAGCTCACACATTAGGACTTCAAATAAGTTGTTTCTCCAGGAGCAAAAAATGGGATTGTAGGACCGGTCCAGCACTTGAGTTTCAGAGCTCTTTTAACTAAACCAGAACAGAAGCACAGATTTAAGGTTGTCCCATGGCTCGCCTGGCCTCAAATCCTCTGACTCTTCCTACATTTCGGCCTTCCTCAAATCTCCTTTCCTCTCACAGAAGAGAATTCGCAAGTTTCAAGCCATCGCTTGTTAAACAAAGCCATCTGCCACTGAAACAGAACCCTCCAACAAGGTAACTCTCTCTTTTTCTTTCTTGGTGTCTCTGCTTTTAATCTTCCCTTCTTTTTGCTTAACTATTTCGCTGCCATCTTCATTTCTATAAAGGGTTGCTGTAAATTTTAGCAGAGGGCAATTTGGCATCTGTCAGTTACAATAAGCAAATTATATAAAAGTTACTATTCCCCCAAAATTGTTCACTCCTTAGGGTCCTGTGCTGATGGTAGTTGAAATGGCTAATTGATTTGAATTAGATGTGGTTAATAGGAAGGTATCAATAGATTTACAATTGTTGGTTGCAAAAAATTTCTTCCTTCCTCTTCTTTTTGGTGGCTTGTTCGGGCTATGTTTTACTTCAACGCATGATAAGAGTGAGAATCTAATTGAGCCCATATGCTAGCTCCGTGTGAGTTCTGCACATAAGAGCTCATTTTTCTGATTTGTATTGTGTTGTTGGATTGTTCCTCATCAATGTATTGTGTTCTTTGTAAAATAGACTTCGGTACTAGAAGTCTAGAACCATATGCAGCAGGCCCAACTTAAGCAACGTCTTCTTAAAGTCACTATTTTTCTCACTTAACGCATTACATTCCTCACATATTAAAAGCATGCTTTGGCTATAGCAAAGGCATCATTCCATTTATCTTCCCAAATTAAATATTTGATATGCCTAATCATCTCCTTCTTGGAGCAGGAAAAGGTACTTGTTGAGCCTGATTCAGTCAAATGTAGCACTAGCCAAGCTACAACTTCGTCTGTTAGAGGTGGATTTTCTGAATTTCCAAACAAAAATATAAGTAGGCGAATAGCATTAGGTCCTACCCTTGCAGCAGCAAGTCTTTTCTTGTTGTCGCGAATAGATTTTGGTGTTTCTTTGAAGGATCTATCTGCTGTCGCAGTGCCTTATGAAGAGGTTTGGTTTTCTTAACTTTTCTACACAGGTTTAACTTCTCATTATATGGGTTTTGTTCAACTTTTGGTTGGATTTTATCCAGCTACATGCTAGTTTGTTTTGTTTGATCTGTTTCATTGAATTATCATATGGGATGTAATGGTTAATTGTGATTGTAACTTGTAACTTAATCAAGAAAAAAAAGAGTCAACATCACTCTCATTCTTTCTTACAGCAGAGTAGGTTCATTGTAATTAGAGGGTGGGCTTCCTTTGTAGATGACATTTTCTAAAGAGACCAGGCTTAATTATCTAATTGTTCTTAATTTGTTAGATCTGTATAGGAGCTTTCCAGTCTGTTAAGATGCTAGTCTTAGGCCACAAACATTTTCCAGAATATAGGGTTGCCGCATTACCTGACACTTGTTTTCTTTGTGGCTGGTTCTAAAGGCTCTTTCAAATGGAAAGCCAACCGTTATAGAGTTCTATGCCGATTGGTGCGAAGTATGCTGGGAATTAGCTCCAGATGTTTATAAAGTAGAGCAGCAATACAGGTAATGATTCCGCCTTGTTACTATTGTCATTTACGTCTCTCAATCCGTCCTCTTTTCTACATTCTTTGGAAGTGGAATATATTTTTAGCCCCAAACATTAGCCTCCCTTGTAAGGGATATTTATGTTCTCCTTTGATACATTTGCTTATGAATAAATTTGTTTTCTGGTTTTTGAATCATTTTGAGGAGGTGTTTCTTTTAGCTGTTGGTTGATGAATGTAAAACATTCCTAGTCCCTGTGGATGGTTTCTCCTTGTTTCATAAATTACTTCACTTCTTAACACCCAATTAACACCTTTGGTTCAGGGATCATGCCAATTTTGTTATGTTGAATGTTGACAACACAAAATGGGAACAGGAACTTGATGAGTTTGGTGTTGAGGTTATTACGCACTTTGCTTTCCTGGATAAAGATGGAAACAAGGAGGGCCATGTTGTAGGCAGGTTTCCGAGGAAGTACTTCCTTGAGAATGTGGATGCTCTTGCCTGTGGTGAGGCATCGGTTCCTCATGTTCATGTAGTGGGACAGTATTCAAGTGCTGAATCCAGGGAGGTGCACCAGGTTGCTGATCCCAGAAGTCATGTCTAGATGTTACCTTCTCGCAAGAAGTGACTCATTAATTCCTCAGTACAAAAACACTTACAAGGTAACCCCTTACTTTTGATGTTAGATGTATCCATCTCCTGTTAATAGTTTTAGTATGTGAAAATTTTTAACTTGTTTTTCAGTTTGAGGTCCTTTTTAGAAGAATCCTAACAAACCTGAGTTAACTGGATATAGAATGTGATATGCTAACATTTTTAAAAAGTGATATTTAACATATGAGAAGTTCAAATTTTAGCAGTTATAACAGTACAATCCTTTTCTTACCAAAAAAATTAAAATAAAATTTATATATTCAATTGGTTGCTTGCTTCTAAACGAAGAACATCTTCATTTTCAAGTAATCTAAATTTTGTTTTGTTCTGGATCTTCAAGTTCAAGTCATTTTTCAGGTTCGAAGGCGTGACACCATCGATTTGTTTCAGTTATTTTTAGATATTTTTAGATGCTTGCTTACTCTGATTTGAGAACTGAATATCAGTACGAAATTGCAATAAAAAAGGACAACGGCAAAAGACATTTTTTGTAGGCGGCTTTGGCAGTTTTTTTTTTCCTTATTAATAATATTAATTAGAAAAGACATTATTTAAATCAATTATATATATCCAATGCTCAAGAAAATAAAAGTAAACAATTTTATGCTATTCGAATCTTGAATGAAATTTACGAGATCGCTAGTGTTCAAATGCAGGGTGGCCATTTCGCACACCACTTGAAATTATGATCATCCTTGTTTAAATTTGTGGAAATCAAGGGTGGGCCGAAAAGAATGCGAGGAGGCCCACAAGAGGCGCGTTGATATACGTTGTGGGTTCAGACTCTTGAAAATGAGGCCTTGAATCTGGAAATGCATCCGACACATTAGGCCCCCCGACCACTGCTCCCACCAATATATTGGGGTTAGGGTTTGGGCTGCTGTAATAGCGAGACCCCTCTTTGCATCCGATTCCGGCCGGATGGGCCTTTACCGATGGCAGTGAGCTGGCCCTATGATGAATCCTCTGAGGAAAGCGTCCTCCATAGCCAACCATGTAGGATATCCCTAGAGGATTGTCTCCCAGAATGTAGTCCACCTAAAATTCCCACAAATATCAAGGTATATTAATTCTGTGGTCCTTATTCTATTTATACATATATATACATATATTCAAGATCACGTGAGGTGTTTTGATGATCATGCAAAACAAACATTATTTATTCATCATAAAGACAATCTAACCGTTGGTTTTGTCTGATTTTGGTGTGGCCCCCTGATTTAATGGTAATGTGGAATGTGGATTTAAAAAGGTGGGGCCTACTTTTTTTAATAGGAACAAGAATGTGAAGAAGGATAAATTATAAAATACCTGGCGTTTAGCCAACTGCTTGAGAAGGGCAGGGGAGGCTGATCGCTCGCCACATGGCACCACCTTGTTAGCGTGGCTTAGATAATTAGAATAGGCTAGAAGTAGGAAAGACAATGATGTTACGTGCTGCATGTTACTCCCTCCAGCTTTGAATATCAACCCACCTTTATTTATATTTTGTTTTCCATGTCCAGTCAAGAGAGAAGAGAAAAAGGGGTTAGTTTTTTTAATCAGCAGAAAACCACCTGGATCAAGCAGTCGCTTAGATGCAAAAAACCACTTAATTACAAACACAGTTGGTCCAACCTTATAGGCATGTGACAGACTTAAATCATTTGCTTTTCCCGTTATAATAGGGTTCTTTTTTCTCCAGAGATCTTTTAGTCTTTACTACCAATGTTCAATGTGCTCAAGGAAACAAAAAGAAAAAGAAAAAGAAAACCATATACCAGGAGAGTATTGGACTTGAGGATGAGAAATTCCAGGCAATAAAGAACAAATGAAACCATCAGCATTTTGCTTGAAAGATTCGAAATAATCAGCTTTTCCCGTCAGCACCTCCTGTGCCAGAAAATATTTCACAGATCAGATAATAATAATATATTAAGAACTTGTTTTGTTTGTCACATTTATATATCAGCTTCAATGTATAATACTGCATGGCCTGATATTGATAAATGTTAGTTCAAGAATCCATGGATTGATGATTATTGTTCATGCAAAAAAAGAGTTTATCATATAGAATAATAGAAAGCATATTAAATGCATGAATACTAGGAATTCATATAAGCTATGCGTAAATGGTATATGTCATAATATTGTTAAGAGTGAAAGGTCCTTAACAAAGGAGTCGTCAGACCTTTCAAGGAAAGTTGATGTGGAAAGATAATGGGTGAGCATGGGAGGGAACCATCGCCCCAACCTTTAGGCACATGCATGTAGCAGTAACTCACTGATTGCGGACCCACGGGAAAACCAGATCTCTAAACTAGACGCTTAGACTTTGATGCTACCTCCAGTTCAGCACAAAACTTTGGTTAATGATAAGCCAAATATTATGCTCACAGAAATCACCATGTGCAATTATCACACACCCTTTTTCCCAGTGATTATTTTATTTGAAACTTTCATCTATTCCCATCTTATCTAAGTCGTAGGGTCACTTTTATAGACCCACAGTAAGGGACCCCTAGAAAGTATGGCAATCTAACAAGTAACTTCTCTTTCATTTAAAATCAAATCCAACTTTTTTCCCGTGACCTTTGTAAATAAGTCCAAGATTTCACACCTTGCAAACTGTTTTCAGTTGATCTACAAAATCTAGAAGAGGCCATAAAAAATGGGGTTCGGAGATGTGAAAGGTCCACCTTAAAACATGATCTAAGTTATTTTCCGTCCAGGTGACACTCAAGACACATTTTCTTCTATTTTCCAAGCAGAGACAAAAGAAATCCTACATGCCCCCAACATAAAGCACAAGACAAGAATAAAAACAAAGCACTAAACAAATATAAAAACAATTGATAAAGCACACACGCATATTATAAAAAACGATTAAACATTAACATACATAATCCAGGGATTAATTAGGGGATGAGTTTTTCTTGATAAATTTTGCAGTGCACCTTGGAAACGAGGACGTTAATCCCAGCATGCTTGTTATCCCAACCAAACTCATTGATGGTATCTCCAGCTCTCAAGACGACCTCGTTTTTCACTATGTACTCTCTGTAAACGCGCTTCCTTGACGCCTTGTGCAACCAAGCTGCTCCCCAAAGCAACTCGTCCTGAAAATTTATATTTTCCCAATGATCTTTCCTGTCATAATCCAACGGTTGATATTAAAAAGAAATGAAAAGAAAATCTATCTGACCTGGTAGCCATTCACGTCGCAGTAAAAAGGGCACACTGCAGACTGCAAGTTGCTGCTATAGGCACCCCGGTGCTTGTCAGCAAAGTTGAACACCTACAGTACATTTCCATTTTCCCCCAACGGTCAGTTTTTCGCCATGGTGGGACGGTGACAAGGTTAAAAATTCTACTTTTACTACCGAATCTTCTAAAGTTAAAAATTACGGTAATAATAAAAAATAAAATAGAGGTGGTGATAGGAACGTACCGTAACGGCTCGATTGAGGAGCATCCTCGAGTAAGCAGGGTCACGGGACCTAAACACAATGGAAGCAGCGGCCAATGCGGCGGCGGTTTCACCTGCCACGTCAGAGCCAGGATGCGAAGTATCGATTTTGTAAACTGTACGAAGCGTGTCCATATCCTCTGGCCTTTCCCAGCAGCTATGATCAGAGTGCGCATCTCCCACTTGTACGTACACCATTCCAGGCTTTGCCGTTGCTTTCAAAAGATAATCCGTCGACCACTTAACGGCTTTAACAGCGTTCTTCAAATCCAGCCCCATGTTCCTCCCGAAATCTATGATACTCCAAGCTAATAAAGTTGTCGTAAATGCCATTGGGAACCCAAACTTCACGTTGTCTCCGGCGTCGTAGTAACCTCCCGTCAAGTCCACCTGAAACAGAAACATCAAACGTCGTTAATGATTTGACTAGACTTTTTACAGTGGTGAAAAGGGAAATGCAGGGTGTGGGGAAGGAGTAAGTAGGTACGCCGGCAGTGGAGCCGTCGTGCAATGCGGAGTCGCGGCGCCATTTGACTCGTTGGTCTGGGGGAAGTCTGCCTGATCGTTGGCCTTCGAAAAAGAGAATGCTCTTGCGGAGAGCGTCGTGGTAGTCGTGGCCGCATACGATTGGACGACAAAAGAGGAGTAAAGAAAAAGAATAGGCAAGAAGTGCCGGGAAAATCTCAGGAAATGAGAGGGATTTTGGCGCCATCTTTTTTCGGGAGGGTTGGGGTTGGGAACTGGGCTGTCTGTTTCTTGTTGCTAAGAAAAGAGCATAGCCGACGTGTTTGTTTATAGTAAAAAAGTGTCCTCGGATTCCGGAGATTGAACCAATGGGGATACGCCACGTGGAGAGACATGACTGGTGGAGTTGGGATTCCAATGCAGGACATGCTTGACCGGGTTAATACCAGGTACATATTAGTCGGGTCCGACTTTGGCCCACAGTTTTTTGGGTTTTGATATTGATGATTGCCGGTGTGAGAGCAGTGGGAGTAGTCAAAGTGTCAGGAATAATGGAGGTCACATGTGGATACCGACCTATTAATGATTGACACGTGGAGTAAAGCAGCTATGTGGGGTCTATTAATGGAAAGAGTAAAAAGGGGATGGGTGTTGTTGACGAATTAGTCATGCGAGTTTCTGTTGGTTGCTGGCTAGGCAGTCGGGAATGGTGGAAAAAAAAAAGAGAAAAATTTTTGCTTGGAGGTTGGTTTTGGGATTGTGTAAAGTTTTCATTTGAAATTATTAGTTTAAATATTTTACATATGGATTTTTATCATTAAATCAAATCTTCGTATGTAAAATTATGTAAAATCTTGAAAAGAGAAATAAACGAGATGGTGCATGCAGTAAAATTTGTGCAGCCCTATAAAACATAATATCCTGTAATACTTACGCATATATAGGGCCTGTGCTATGGATAATACCATAAAAGAGGGAATACATCAGAAGAAAAATAATTGAAACCTGTTGATGCACTGTTGGGTGAGCAAGGAGTTAATTAGAGGCTGAAACCATCACCTATTTGGGCAGCCCTCATGGAGTTTTCTGTGTCTAATTATGCAAAGAAGCATCCTCTGGCAGTGGAATCTGATTCAAAGGTGGTTATTTCTTGTGTTTGTAATTCTATTCCTAGACCATGGAGAGAATGGAAGGTGTTTGATGAGATCGATAAACTGATAAAGGAGTTAGGGAATGTATCTTTTTGTCATACATTTAGGGAAGCAAACTCTTTAGCTGATTCATTAGCCAAGATGGGAGTGAACCGAGATGTGTTTTAGGAACGATCTGATGTATTTGCTCAATAGTTTGGATGTATTCAGGGGCTGACCTTCGCATCAAAGGCAGGTCTGCAATGACTATCATTAATAAAAGTTTCTATTTGATGGAGCAAAAAAAGTACATTGGAAGTATTATTCCGAAAAATGTTCTAACACTCAAATCAATGACGCTTTTTTGCAGAAGAAAGTAGAGAGAATGAGGAAAATTTTGAGGATTCTGAATGCTGCATGACTGATCTAATTTTTTTTTTAATACATGGATGATAACGTAATTAGATGAACATGCAGTTATCTGTTTTAGATTACAAATGGACATCGATGATTTAACAACTAAAATGTTGATGACATAGCCATTGAGATATAACAAATCCTTTACGTAGTTCTTCCATATTAAATGCAGTAAGTTATTTTCAATGCATAAGCCATAAATGGAATCAAAAAGTTAAGGATAAGGAACCTGAAATACACATATTGTCCATGATTGAAAATGTTCGTCCATCTAGAGTCAAGACAAAGTAAAAAAAAAAAAAAAACAAAATAGAAAAGAATCGAACTTTGTGTCATTTCCATGTTGCATTGGGCTGTTTTTTTTTTTTCTTTTCGTGATTATGATCAAGTAGTGCTTGATTCAGTCAAAACACAAGCATGGAAACCGAGAAGACAATGCTGAAATTATGTCAAGCTTTGTCCAATTAAAGAGCTTCAATCTTTATGAAATTATGGCATTATTTCTTCATCCGCGCTAATTCAGAAGCAATCATATCACTACGAAATTTGAGCAAAGATTAATGAATTGCAATTTTTTTAAAAAGAAACATATAATAAATTTAAAATTTTTGTAGTCACATCCTCTTTTTTTATCTCCATATTGCAATTTTATTTGTAAAAAGAAACTTGATTAAATGCTTTGACAAGGGCTGACAAAATGCCAATTATAGCAAAACTTTAATCAGGAAAAGACAATAATGAAGGCACCTAAATTCAAACAAAAGGACAAGGGCAATTGAGTTTGCTAATCAGTGAGGCCATGTGCCCATCTTCTCTCCTTAAACAAGGGCAATGTCTTTGGCTCTGGTTCAAGTTATCCAATCAAAACCTGGAGTGGGGACCTATCTTTTCATCTTTCAAGTTTTCTTTTCTTATATCGAAGATAAGAAGGGGAGGAAGATATGAGGGATTGGTTTGGGGCATGCAATCGGGAGAACGGAAAAAGCATGCTTCCAGTGCTTGAGCCTCATGTGAATTAGGTACATTTCTAGTGTGTGTGGAACGTGGGTTGGAGTGTTCATATATTAACTTCTTCACACGCAAGTTCTGCTCAAGGATTTGCCTCACTCTTCTTTCTCATCTTGACAGAGTTGTGATACTTTTTGTCTATAAAAAAGGGTAATTAGATGGCAAATTTTTCTTAGACTCGGTTTGACATATAATTTTTCCTTTTTTATTAAACATAAATAGAAACTGAAAAATGAATTAAAAAATAAATAGCAAAAATTAAAATCATTTACCAGAGGAAACCTTAATTATTATTATTATAATAATAGTAGCTGAGTAATTTCAAATTAATGTTGTTTCGTTAAAATTATACATTTGATATATTATCAATATATAAATTCTATGCATTATTAATAAATCAGATGATGACACTTAATTAATGAATAAATATTAATTTTTAAAATAAATATATACAAATTAAAATTTTTTAAAAAATTTATTCATTAATAAAATATTATCATTTTATTCATTTCACTAATGAGTTATCATCATTTGATTTACTGATAATGTATAAAATTTATATACCAATAATGAATTAAATATAAACTCTTTCTTTAAACATTAAAACTCGTAACCCATAAATTATTTAATTAATTAAGTACAGTTTAATCATTTGAACAATTTATATATGAACCAAGTTATGCAAGCAAGAAAAAAATAATAGGGAATCTACATGATCGGTAAGTACCCTGCCGGTCCACCACCATAACCTAAGACTCGCATAAGAGAACCGTAATTTCATATTGACAACAGACCAGGACCTGATCAACCCAAAAAAGAACATCGACCCTAGTAGCCCACAAGTTGAATTGGATCTATCGATTGCAACTGGTCTGCTCAAATGTTCTTTGAATCAAGTCAAGCCCATTGCAATGTATATCCTTCTCTTGGGCTTCTAAATTTAAATTTCGGACCAGATATTATTGTAGAACTGTAGAACTGCCCTTGCAAAGTAATAACCAAGTTAGGATCTGCAAAAAAGGGTTTATTAGTTCATTAATTTGAATTTGAAGTATGCTAGCAACTATAGTTGATTTGACAAAAAGATTAATGAAGCATCAGTATGGATTTGGAAGGATATGAACCGGGATATAGCTGTAGGAGAAGCAAAGGCAATTAAGAGAAAAAGAAATGGCCCTTATTAATTCACTTGATTAGCAAATTATTATGCACCAGTCAAAAACAAAAGATAAAAAGAAAGGTTTGAAGAACTTTTGCTAAGGCGATTAAAGGAGTAAAACTTCATGTTTTCACTTCATTTTTTTATTCCCATGACAAATTATCATTTTATATATTGTTTTTCCAAATTTCACCTTTAAACAAATGGTGAAGCATGCCTTTTCAATTAGACCATAATTCGATCCACAAATGGTAGGATTTGCAGCTAACTTGCATATAATGTAGAGAACACATCCAAATATTTTATTGTATAATAATAATAATAATAATAAAGAAAAAAAAAAAAAGGGAGACAAAGAAACCTATCTAAGGATGTTACCAATCCGATGAAATGTAAAAACCAAAAATTCTACTCTTTTGACTTATTGGTGTCGAGTTTCGTGCTAAAGTTGGAAATCTTGAAATCACATTAAAGGAAAGAATGATTAAGGATAAAGGTAGAAAGTATTTTTTATAATTATATTTCGTTGTTTATATCAAAAGTTGATTGTAAGAAATTAAAAAGATAATGAAAAGTAAGGAGAGTATGAGAAAAATAAGATGGATAATTAATACTTGATTGATTTTATTTATAGGTGAAAAATAAAAAATTTATAAAATAAAATTATAATGTAATCGAACTGATTTGATATTATATTTGTTAAATTAATTTAAAAATAAAAAATATATTTAGATGTCAGCTGATAATCTCTAAGGAAAAAAAAACCTATTTACCTTTTGAATCCAAAAGTTCCATAGTTAGGACTATATCCAAATAAATATATAAAAGTTACCATGGGGGCTTTTCCCCTCATTCACGGAGTCGACTTCGCCTGCTTCCGTGTCTAGACAATGGTAGGGTGGGTCAGTTTTTTTAGAGAGGCCCCAATGCGACAGCTTTTAGTGGTAACATCATGAACAATATTGATTCGAACAACATAGATAACATTTACATCCTTTATAATTCCATAAAACAAACCAACGCTTTTGGGGGTCTATCATTATCAAGTTGTCTCTCCTTTTGTTTGAAACTAAATTTCAGCCACAAGACCATGAAATATGGCCACGGCCTTACTACTTGTTGAGGTTGATTACAAGCTTTAAATCAAGATTGTGTTCCCCAATCCTGTCCACGAATCATTTAACTTAGAAAAAGTTTTGAAATCAGCTCAATAGAGTCAATTGCGCCGATCAGTACGTGAAACTGTGAAGAGCTTTGGTCTTTTTGTCAAATAATGATTTGGAAAAATTCCCCCTTTACCTGCAAAACCAACTGTTTTTCATTCAAAAAGAAAAGCTGTAATCAATTTTTTCAATACATTCAAAAGATATGTGTATTACTGTATACTTTCATTTCTGTTTAGTTGATTGCTATTCTTTGGTTGACTATTGGTCTTTGAATTAGCAAAGCCTACTTGTGTTGAGTTTCCTGTCCCAGCTAACTATGATCTCCATAAATACAAGATGTTTGCATGTGAATTTCATGTTTGTGGAACACTTGCACGAGCATTTCGCTTAATGATAATTACATATATATCATATTTAAAGAATTTAATATGAATCTTTTTCATGAAATAAAGATTTTGGCTATGTTTATTGAATAAGTCGATGGGTAAAATAAAATGATAATTATTTTATACTATATTTTATTCTATATCACGAAATAAAAATCATGGCTATTTTATGATCTTTCATGTTTTTGTTTTAACATTCAAAGGACATGTGCTAGCTTTAATTTTAAATGTCACTCAATACAAGTTTGATGAACTTTTTACATTGGCCTAATGGAGAGATATCCCCATATATGAACTCTCAATAAAACAAATGTACTCACATGTGCTTGCATTCTATCTCTTGCTTAAAGGAGTTGAAATCATTAACCTTGCCTGTTTGTTTTGTTAGGAGCTAGCTATAGGAAAATGCTGAAATAGTTCACATTTACTCTAGCATATGTCTATTGTTTAAGGTCATGCAAAATGCTTTTGACAATTCATATTTCTTTACTTAAAATAAACCCTAAGCACATGAGCAGAATCAAAATCGTAGCACCAGCACCGAATCCAATTAGCAGAGCCCACTCTAGCTCAAGGCCATGGTGCTGAACAAAAGGTGCTCAATCACGCAGGACAAAATGGATGAGGGGCCCTACCGTCGGTTAAAGCTACAGCAAAAGTTGCACGCTTCACTATAGTGGGGGAAATGTGCAAGTTGTGTAAAAGTGTTTAACCTCCTAATCAACCTTCTAAAGGCTAAAACTGACTACAAACAGGTGTGGTCAGCTAAAACCCGCTGGTGCCCCCGTTTTCCCACTACGGCTATAGGATGGGGAAAGTCACAAATTTCCAAATTTTTAATCTTAAAAATGTCCACTCTAGAAACATTTAGATGAAGCTTATAACTAAAAAGTGAAAAACATTTATGTTTTTCTTTTTAAAATGTATATAATTTTTTTTTAGAAAACATAATCTTAAACTTTAAACTTGTTAGATGTCATTTTTTAATGATAATTATATGAATTAATTAAATTTAAATTTAACTTTAATTCTTTAAACACATTGATATATATGCATTTACATTAAAGTCAATGCTAGGATAAGAATGAAATGTTACATATATTCCCATACATTTGTACACATTACATGTTCGAGGTAAATATGATAATTAAAAAAAATGAAAATTAGACTAACATATGTATTATACTTTTAACAACTTCAATTAAATATGTACAATTTGCATTAACAATTAGGCAGCAACTCACCAATTGTTATGCTCCATCCATAAGAGCCCTAGTTGCCTTCTGATTCACTTGCTTTACTCAAATATATCAGAGGTGTAGATAATTGTGAATCATTGCTCGGCTGCTTATCATTGGAGCCGTAGAAATGTTGCCGACTGATAGTTGATTGCTTGGTGGATGCACCACCTAAAACCGGCCGAAATTCAAAAGCCATTGCCAATAAATTTTTTTTCTTCATATGCTGCGATTTCACACTTGCACGCGTGACTTATCCTTGTCGTAAGTCGTTAAATTGTACATAAATTATTATTTGCATATTGCCCTCTTTTCTTGAGTAAAATTACAAGCTACATGATATATTGGAAATGAGTGTTCCCTGGATGCGTAAAAGACAGCTAATATTGTCCTGCTGCTGCCTAAAATTTTGGCTTAGAAGCTCCTCATCCCTACATTGATTAATTTTTCTTATAGCTCAATTTATTTTTTAGGGTTTAGTGTACAATTTTCAAAGAAGTGAGATTCAAACCAAGCTTTTTCAATTATAAATACATGTACTTGTGCATGGAGTTCATGGCGTAAATTCAAGATTCGAATGTCATCCATCTGCGTGAAAAATTAGTCATGGGTAATTACTAGGTGGTGAAACCTTCTCCTCTAATATAGACCATCACTTTGCTCAAAATAGAAATGATCATGACTTAGTTTGTAGATATGCAAATTTGTGTTTTCATGTTATATTTATTTTATGTTAAAAATATATAAAATATGAAATTATTATATTATAATTTATGTCGATATATCAAATACATGTTTTTTTGTTTTTACTAAATCAATATATAATTTTTATTAAAATTTTGAATCGTATCATTTTTATATTAATTTTGTATTGTATCCCATGTTATATTTAAAATTATCAGATTTACTAGATTGTAGTGCTTTATCTATTAACGTTAAAAAAAAAAAAAAAAGAGTAGAGGAGCATTGACTCGATTCATTCAAATTGAAAATTATTTCATATATGATCATTAGAGTTCTTAAATTTTATTAGTGGAATTAGAAAGTTAATGCAAATCTATGTAAAATACATTTTAAAAATAAAAATATAATTATATAACCAAAAAAGCTGATCAATAGTTTAATTCGACTTATAACGATTCTATGGTCATGTATAAAAAAATAATTCTTAAAAAATAAATAAGTATTGACTGGATTCTAGTGTTTCATATGCAAAATCATCTTTATTTTGTCACATGTAGAATAATATTTTTTTTATAAAGGAGATTGTAATATAAAAATAAAAGAAATTATGAGTGGATTAGAATTTAAATTTTAAATTTACTAATTAAATATTAATTTTTAAAAAATAATTACATGATTTCCTACCATGATAATCAAATCATTCAAACTAAGAAAGTCAATGCTTTAATGAAAACGACGAAGGCAATGCTTGATTCAAACCAATGGAAGACAAAAGGAGATTTCGAAGATCCAGATTAAATACTGCTTGTTCTCGCTTCTATAGTAATATTTATGGCAAAGAATTAATATATATACATAGTTTCCTCTTCAATTTGATATGTATAATCCATTAAATTAAAAAAATAATATTAGACACTTGTCAATGAAAAAAAAAGATTTAAGAATTTAAAGACGCTTGTAATTATATTATCAATGTTTATTTATAAAACTATACATAAAAAATAAATCCAGTAGTATTAAAATTCTGGCAATGATATCTTATTTTATTACGTAGCCATTTTTTTATTTTCTTTTTGTTCGGATTCCTGCATAATTTCCGGGAAAGTCTGGCACACACAATTGTAGTTTGCCAAAAAAAAAAAAAAAACCAGTAGTATTCTTGTAAATCCACATGAAACCATGGTTACAAAAGTAATTCAACTTCGAGTCACGAGGCTACAAAAACCATTCCCACAGCCCTTCCTTCATCCCCCACCAGCAACTACCTTAAGGACAACTACACGAATTCCAAAAAAACTTCTCCTTTATTAGAACCAAAGCCATGAAACCCCTCAGCTCCCCCCTCCCCATAACCGCTCTTTTCTTCTGTCTCCATATAATCCCAACCCTTAGTTCCGCCGACTACGACGCCAGCACCACCGAAACTAACACCACAGATTTCATCCGCACAAGCTGCTCAGTCACTTTATACCCTGACGTTTGCTACACTTCCCTTTCTGGATATGCCAACGCCACCGAACAAGACCCAGCTCGTCTAGCTCGTATCGCCATTGGTGTCAGCCTGTCTAAAGCCCGTCACATGGCGGCTTACATCTCCAACCTCTCCCGTGCAGCCGACTACGGTGCCGACCCACGAGCCAGCGCCGCCTTACACGACTGTTTCTCCAACATGGGTGATACCGTGGAGGAAATCCGTGGGTCGTTGAACCAAATGCGACAGCTCGTGGCTCCGGGTTCGGAGTCTTTCAGGTTCCAAATGGAAAATGTTCAGACTTGGATGAGCGCGGCCTTGACGGACGAGGACACGTGTACGGATGGGTTCGAGGATGTGGCGGATGGACCGATGAAGACGGAGGTGTGCGAGAGGATGGAGAAAGTGAAGGAGCTTACGAGCAATGCTTTGGCATTGGTTAATAGTTATGCCGAAAAGGGTACAAATTAATTAGCGGAACGAAGAAAAGGTTATAATTTCTGATTACGTGAGGTATATTTTTGAATGTTTTTGTTGTTAATTTCGACTTTTTTGTACAGTGGTTTTGGAGTCTCATTTTTTTTTCCTTTATGGGTGTCAGTAGTTTTGAATTTTTCGGTTTTCTTTTCGTGACAGAGAGAAGGAAAGTTAAAGTTTATATCAAATTGCTTCAGTTCTAACTTTTTGTTATTTTCACAAAGTAAATGAATTTATTTGATAAAAGTTAGTGCTTATCTCCGAGCTGAAGATTAAAATTCTGAAATTATAATAAAAAAAAGAGAATGGTTAGGATAAAGACAAGGAGTCTCTTTGTTTTTGTGCTCTTACATTCAAATAAAAGGGCGAGACTAAAAAAATTATAAAAAATTTAAAAATTTAAAAAACAAAAAAGAGATTGAATTGATAATATTTATATAATTTTATTTATAAGTAGAAAGTAAGGGATTTGTAAGATAAAATATATAGTAATGTAGTCGAATTGATGTAGTAAATGATAGATCGGTTTAATATATTAGGTCAATTCAAAAATAAAAAATGATTCTAATTATCTGCTAAGAATTTGTAACGAGGGAACTGACCAATTTGCTTTTTGAACTAAAAAATGTCCTTAAAAATAAAGAAAAATGTTGAAGTTTATATTAATTAAATTTATTTATCTTCATAATTTTCATCTTATTACATTAAAAAGAATAAATAAATAAATAAAACGAGGAATATTTAAGTAAAATGTAATTGACAACAAATACTAATAAGAAAAAAGAAGTGGTTGCCGCCTTGCATCCGTTATTATGCTTTAATTTCAACATGAAATATAGAATGCATCCAAGAGTAGATATAACTCGAAGTGGGGAACATGTTTATTTGGTACAGCACAGCTCAACTCAAACAAAGGCTTAGATTAATATCTTAGCACAAAGTAATGGCACTTTCTCTTTGGTTTCTTTATAGAGCTTCAGCATAATTACTTGCCAGTACTGGATCAATATTCTTCACAGGAGAAGATCAGAAACAAAGATTCTACTGCTTCTTTCTACACTTAAAAAAAAAAGAGAAACACCTAGTGTTGTTTATGGTATATAGAAGTCACATGCATACATGCAGACAATTCAATGCACGAGAGAGAAATGGGTTGGCAACATACGTAATATAATAAGTGTAAGCATTGTATGACAGCAAGACAGCAACCAACCAAAAATTTGAGGTTAGTTAGAATAATTTTGAGTTTGTTTTTAGAAGAAGGATAGGCCGGATTTTGTGTCCAACTCTACGCTTTGGATTTTTCTAAAGGGAAATGAGCTCTCCCGTGAAATGTATTACTATATATACACACTAGAAGAAAAGGTTGGTAATTACATGTCAGGACAAAATAAAAAGGTTTCGTGAGTGATCATGTAAGGGAGAAAATTTATATCAAAATTTTTAAGTAAAGTTTGTGAAATTCTTTTTTAAAAATGATTTAATAAAAATTTTAATAAAAAATTTAAATTGATAGATTGATAGAATTTAATTTAATGATCAATAATATATCAAAAAATTATTTATAATATTATTTATAATTTAAATTTAATCGATACTTATTCAATGATAAAAATTTATCAACATTTTTACTAAAAATATCTATATAAAATATATATATCAAAATTTATTAAAAATTTTTCAAATTTTGTACACTTAATTTATATAACAAGATCTTTCAATCTATTGATTCTAGTTTTCGATTTTAAATTTTAATTAATTATTTTTAATTAAAAATTTTATAAATTTTATCTAGTCTTTCCCCCTGCAAATGACATACTTGGTTGTTGTTCTTGACCAGCTTGCTTTTGGGTTCACGAGATACAAACACTATCTTGGTAGGACAAAATTGAAAGGGATCTCATCTGGGCAAATGAAGGAAATCGGCCTGGCTTTTGGTCCAATACCATTGAGCATGAAAATTCAACTTCTGTCAAATATAGCCCAAAGAGATGATACATAGATCAGTGAAATTGGGCTTTTGAAGTATATGTGTGTGTCTGTCCTTGTTCTTTTCTTTTCTTTCAACAAAAATATGGTAACCAATCAAAATCGTATCAATAACTACATTTAGATCCCCTCCTATGTTGAGTAGATATCCTTCTTTTTTTTTTTTTTTTTCTAGTCGTTTTGGGAATCAAGATTGGAGGGTTGTATTTGCATTTTTGTTTCAAAATATATATATATATATATGTTGGAATTGTTTAGAAGTTGGATTTGTGTATGAATCGAACTGGGGATATACCCACTTGAAATTTAAAAAAATAAAAAGCTAATTAAAATTTTTAATTTTTTAAAGTTGGTATTTGTCAAATTCAATCAAATTAAAAATCTCTATGTATTCTCAAATTAATTATTCTTAAATCTTGAATTTTAAAATTTAAATTTATCCACAAAGAATTCTAACACAAATATTACTAGAAGATTTAAAACCCATATTCAAATTTAAAACTCTATTTCATGGGAAAATATTCTATGCAAAATATATATATATATATAAATATATATTGTTTTATGGTCTTCATGTAACTTCGAATGAAGATTAACCCTGACAATTTTTAACATTATACAATACATGATATGAAAATGATACATAAAAATATAAAAATGATATGATATAAAATTTTAGCAAAAATAAAAAAAAATATTTTATATTTATTGTATCGATATGAATTGTGATATAATAATTTTCATATTTTATGTGTTTAACATGAAATAAATAACATGAATACAAGAATTATCAAGTAAGAAAAATATTTTATTTTCACATGTGAAAAGAATTGATGTATATAAATTTAGTGGTTTTAGGGAAAAGAGTTTATTTATTATTTTTTGTGTTTCAAATTGAATGTTTACATTTGCGAACTTAGGAAAGAGGTATTCTACCCATACTTACTTTACAAACTTTACCCTATAATTATCATAATATCTGAAGAAACTCATTTAAATTTAGTATTTGAATGCTGGACAACATTGAGAAATTTTTTTTTCTATTTTAGAAAATTCTAAAATAATAAAATGAACATTCATTTTTAACAAAAAGATTAATATTTTTGGGGTGCGAGGCAAAACTAATAAATTTCCCTCATTCTGGTTCTGAGTTTCATTTGATAGTGACACTTGAGCTTCTAAGTATTAAAGTTTCGTTTGATTGGTGCTTTTATTTTTTCCGTGATCTATAAAACAAATAAAAAAGAGGGGAAATGAGGTGTTAGTATGCTAACAAGGAGGAATCTTATTCTTATCTCTTTAGTTCCAACGATTAGTCTAACCTTTCATTGTGAATGTGCAATTCATCAGTACTTTCGTAGTACCCACCTATATCCCTCTATCTTATCATCAATTCTAAATTCTTGAGTATATGAGTAAACATGGTTAAGAGTTTATTTGGATTGGTAGTAAGATGAGTTTTTGAGAGATTAAAAATCATAATAAAAATTATTATAATTGTGATTAAGAAAAATAATTTATACTGAATAGATCTCATTGAAATTGACATTTGAATTCAATTAATAGTATAATAAACTTAACTACACTATACTTCATTGAAAGTGTGGTGAAATATGAATCCCCACTAACTTAATTCACCTATCACAGTAAAGGTGAAATTTGTTTTTATCATTTTTGAATATTTTGTGCTTTTAAAATATATATATCTATGCATGTGTGTACAATACAATTTTAACGAAGGCAATAATTAGATATATATATATATATATATATACAAGATATATTTACTTATGCAGCTGTAAAACCCTTTGGAAAGAGAAACTTTAAATTCAAATTCCCTTGTCGTCTCTCATTTCAAAGAAAATAATAATACAAACTATCGTTAGCAGTTTGAGTTGAAAGAAGAAAATGACTTTGCCCTTTTGGTTCTCTCATGGTGGTAGTAGAAAAAGATAGTACCATAAACTTTTTAACTTCAAACTTCATGCATGGATGGGTGTCGTTTGGTGGGCGTTCTTCTCAAAAAAGAAGAAATATATTCCCTAAAATTCACGTTCTCAGTGTCACAACGATGTGAAAATCCACTATGTATGGAATAATTTTGCCAAGTTGATGAGAGGCTCATCACAATTGCACTTTTCAAGAACAGACATAATAGTGGTCCAATCTTAGACTGATGTTTATTAGAGAATGACTCATGACTTGATTTTCATATTGAACAGATTGAAACAATGGAAAAAAAAGAAAAAGAAAAAAGTGCACTATATATATGTATGCATGTATATATATGTATAATCTACTAGATTAAAAAGTGTAATATATAATCAATGAGGTATTGGCTCAATAGTAAGCAATCTGATCTCAAGTGGATTTTACTTGCTAAAGGTGAGGGTTCGAAATTTAGATAAGGTCCTCGTTGGGAGGGAAAATAACTTTAAGTGATCACTATTTTTAAATTACTGATATTCCACTCTCTGGAATGGTGATACCATTTCTGCTACCATTTTCGTACAAAAAGAAAAAAGTGTAATATGTAGATATTTCTTTTCTTTTCTTTTCTTTTTGGGGTGGGGGGGGGGGGGGGGTGAGGGTAGGAAGCAAAAGAAATATTAGAGTTTATGTCATAAAATTTCAGCCTCTAATTTTTTTCAATGTAATTACATATTTTCCAGAACTTGCTTTAATTAGTCTGACTCAGACTACATGTGCTTTCTTCTTCTCTGGGCCATAAGTGTATGTTCTTAAATTGATTACTTCTTGGTCTATCAAAACTAATAACTAAATCCAATTAATTATTCTGTTTGGGGGACATTAATTGATTATTTAGTAGTTTAAACCAATAATTTTGATTATAATTTCTGGGGTATCGTAGTCGAAAGAAGCATGATCATGTCGTTGCCTGAAAGGCTGAAAACCATGGTTTTAAAAGGAAGATTGTGAGAAAAACCAAATCTTTGAAGAAAGAAAGTAATTATTAATACCATTAATTGAAGAAGTTTCCAAAGGTTTGCGGAAAAAATGGGTTTCCATTAAAACGTCTTAAGAATCATTCAATGACACAAATTAAGGATGCTTTCATGGCCAACTATAGCCTGGCTTGGCAAAGAAATCACAGCCAAGAAAAAAAAATAGCGATTTTCTTTAATGGAAGGCATGGAAATTGCCAGCTTGTGGTGATATATACTTGATTCTGACTAATGATGGAGATTGAGTTACCCAAATTGTGTCATTAAAATCAAAGCAATGGGAATTAAATTATATGACAAACTAGTGAACAGTAATAAATCAAGTAATCTATAACTTGAACTAAAAAAAATACGAGTTATATCGATTAGTTCATATAAGTTCATATAATTACTTTTAAAAATTATCATTCAATAATTTTTTTTTAATTTTCAGATTATAATCTCTTTTATTAAAAAAAAAAAAAAGGGATGATAGGAGATAACCTTGGCTTGAAAATTTGTAGAAGTGAATTTATTTTTTCTTGTAAGCAAATGATCACTAATATATCTTTTACTTATTATCAACTTTTGAAGTTTTGAGTATTAATTATCTTAATGTCAATTGGGATTGGAGACATGTTCCTTCTAATTAATAGTAAAGACAACTCATGGTTAAACCCAAAAAAAAAAAAAAATTAAAGGGATTAGGATCTCCTCAACAGTTAAAATTTTAAATATTTTTATTAAAAAAATCAGATTTCAATTTAAATTTTTCATATTTAAATCTTTCTAAATAGGAAATTAGGTTAGAAAAATTTACAATAAAGAACTTCATGATCCCTCATTTGTTCGTTATCGGTATCTAATTAAGGAAATCTATTAGAATTTAGGAATGAAATTATTATCCAATTTGTGAAATAGTCTAAATGAAACATAAAGTGAAAGATAAAGGAACAAGGGATCAAATTATTGCTTAACTATAATTTATAAGAAAAACTATCAGGCATTTTCAGCCACACATTGCCTAAGGGAATTGAACTGCAAACATCACACAACCTCAAAGATAAAACAGTGACACATTGATAATGTTGTTTTAATGCAGAAAATGTAAGGGCTAAGGATGATTAAGTTGTCAATTAGATAGAATAGAGAAAGGACCATAAAGTTTAAAGCTTATAGGTGGAAGCTTAAGAGTCAAATTGCAGAAAATTTATTTCACATCGTTTGGTCATAAATAAGGGATGCATGACAATGTGAATTAGGTTTTGTAGGGAAAGATTGTTCAAGGACATTGAGAGGTACGGTCTGCTGTAAAGCAACTGCGAGGAATAATTGGTAGATTTCAATTGTTATTTTGAACAGTATTCTACGAGCTATATTCATCTGGCGATTTAAAATACTACATGAAAATAATAAAAAATATAATTTAAAATTTTAATCAAAATCACAAACAAGTTCGACAAAATAGGAAAATTCACTACAAGAAAAAAGATTTTTAGCGACAAAATATTTTGTCGCTTCCATCGCTAAAACATATTAACAACACAATTTTGTAACTAAAGCTCATAAACTTAGTTTAAACCTTTTAGTCACAATAGAAAAATTATTTCTGATAACTTACTTATATATCTATATTATATTTCAAAATTAGCTATCAAAAGAAAGAGATGTTTGATCATAATCATTATTAATCTTTCCTTATTTCCATTGATATATTTTTGTTTTCATATTAATTTGTTGTTTATATGTTTCATATGCGTGCATGCGTACTTAATATCTTATCGGCGCTAATAAATTAATCAAAAAGTTAATATATAATTAAACTAAATTCATATATCATGGGACTTGACTTAAATTTGAAATTTCAAGGTGTTCTTTTAACTATCAAGTCAAAGCCATCACCGACGATAATGAAGCAATTTTAACTAATAGTCCAAACGAACGACCACTTTTCAATGTTTAAACTTAAAATTACTACAATTTGGAAATTAATGTCAAATATGAAAACCATATGAAAGTAGGAAGAACGTCAACTTTATTAATTATTTTATGATTAAAATGTAAGAGTACGAGCTCAATTAATATACATTGACGGGCAAGTTGGCTAATTTAATTCGGTCTTCTCATGAATTACATTATTCCCAACGGTTGGTTATTCGTCGCAAAAACAAATTAAAAAAATTAAAGGTTAAAATATTCAATAATTATGTCTTCCTTCAAAGAATTTAATTTTGATTATTAGGTTCAAATTTCGTATCTGAATTACTATCCTCTTTTTAGGCTGATTTAACCATTATTTGAATTTATTATTTTACTTTATTCAATAAAGCCAAAGAAGCAATTTAAATCAAATAGACAGAAGGATGTAAACTAAATTAAATTGTTGAAAATAATGCAATTTGATTTTATATTTTTGGTGGACAATATGCTAGAACCTGTCTAATTGAAGATAGGGTCCTTCAAACAATGCTTTAGATTTGTGGATTATAATGTTAGCCACGTCAAACATCGCTGATCAGCACTTGATAATCCATCTATTATCTTTTCCCTTGAAGAAAAATGCAAATATTAAAAGAAAATGAAATTCAAAGTGTCTCTTATTGTCTTCTATTGCAGTCAGCCTTCCACTAAAAATATAAAACTAAAAACTCAATTGATTGATGGTGATAAAAGCAAAGTTTTTTGTTTTTTAATTTTATGCAATTTATTTGCGAGCGAATAAAAAATTATTCATAAATTTTGAAATATATACAAACAATTATGACCATTAAACTCGAATTTAAAGGTCGTTTTGGATAAATTCATTAATTATCTCATATATATATATATATGTTTTCAATAAAATTATACCTCAGCCTTGAATTAGAGAAAGAGATGCTTAATTCCTTGCAATTAAAATTGGTTTGATGGAAATCCTTATTCGAAGCTGCCAATTATAAACAATAGAAAGACAGAAAAGCACAATTCAATTTATACTCCATCTAGCAAGATTTTCAAGGAGTTTTTTTTTTTTTTTGTTATAATTAACCAAGGAATTTTCAATTAATTAGTTAACCCTCCAAATTAAAGGCAGACAAGTATTATAAATTGCAGCCAGCACTAAAACAAGGAATTAATTAATTAGTTGGTGCAAGGTAGATGAGTTTTCCAGGATGGGGCCTGTGGCTGTCATCCATGGAAGATATATCTACTACTTCAAATCTAATTATGTACCATTTAAAGGGAAAAAGAAAGAGTTGGGCAAGCAGGCCAGATTCTTATAAGCTGGCTGCTGGAACATTAACTTTCGACATATATTATTCAAGTACATCAACAAATTAACTCAATTGGTAAGCCTTGCAAAATATTCACACATTTTTATTCAGGTTATATTAGTATATGAAATAAAAAATTACGAATAGTAAAATACGATCATAAATCACATGCTCCGAATTCAGAAATTATCTTAATTGATTTATTTAATTACTTTTTAAAATGTAACATTTAACGGATTTATAATTTAAATTTTAATATTTACAAATTTTTTTATTTTTAGATTACAGTCACCTTTACAAAAAAAAAAAAAGAGATGATCCATTAAATTTTTAAGCCTTTCATTATCTCATAAATTTTGAATTTTTTCATTTTTGATATTCAAATTGAAAACTTGCAGGATACTTTTTTTAAGTTTTAATTATCAAAAGTATCCTTTTAATTAGAAATAGTATTTTATATTTTTTTTTCAAACTATCCTAATTAATAACTTTATGGCACAGATTTTTTTTCACGTATAACACAAAAGATCCATGCATTTGTAAGGATTTTTTTTTTTTAAAAAAAAGGGAACTTAAAAGGTTTTCCTATTTTATAACCTCTCAAGTCTTAGTCTAAGAGAATGAGAGAGTGGATAATTAGAAGCATGCAAAAGATACATACAAATATGAGGCTGATTGGTGGACGTGTGTTATATAAAACAGTATCCCAAACTATCCCAATTATAAAGGCAATGGAGAAGTTTTGACAATAAAAAAAAAAAAAAATTCACAGCAACCATTTCTAAATCCATATCTATTTCACCAAAACAAAAGAGAAGAAAATCTCATATCCTAATGATCAGGAACCCAAATTTTCAAGAGTATGAGCTTGGTAATCTATGTATATATGGTGGTTTTGTACTAATCGTTTAATACCAAGATGATTTCCATATCTAATGACAATTATTAATGCTAATAGTGATCAGTGATTTTAGGCCAAAGAGATTGTGAACGTTTTGAACTTCCATTTGTTTAAGTTTAATTTGATGTTGCTGTTTGTAATTGAAAATAATTGACAAAGGCAGAATTTTTTATGACAATTAAGAAAAACAAATGGAATACATAATGTAAGCAAAGGCTGTGGTCCAATTAAATTGCTTGGAAAATTCGTCAGTCGTCGCCTATGGCTGACCAATTTCTGAAGTTAAAAGGGGTGCAAAGACTCAAGAGTCATATGTTTTCACCATCTTATTATTTGTTATCTCCATCAATCTTTTAATAAAACAAAATAAAGAAATTGAATTATGGGGAAAGAAATGGATGAAAATGGCATAACCCAAAGCAAACGACAAAAGTTTCTGTTTTAAAGTATACATCATGCATGGCCCAATTCGCTTTTTGAATAAACCCTAAACCCCATTCAAAAGTTCTATATAAACCCCCCTTCCCTCCCTCTTTTTTAATCAATTCAAACTTGAAACCTTTAGAAATTTCTATATAGCTCTCTAGCAAAACTTGAGTCTTCATGGATAAGCTTGTCCTAGCATTTTTCATTTCCTATTTCTTCATTTTTCCACTAGGGAAAATTGTGCATGGTGCTAGTTCTAGAATAACCTCTTGTAGCCAAACTCCATACCCTGACGTCTGCAACAAATTCATGGGAAATGGAATTAATCTTGCAGCAAGCCTTGATCAAACCCATTTCTCATTCCGTGACTATGCCATTCAGGTGACCCTGAACCAAGCAGTTCGAGCTCACCAGCTCGTCTCGTCGATGGACGTGAGTTCATTCGATGTGCGAGCCAAGTTGGCCTGGAATGATTGCTTGGAGCTATATGAGGACACCGTTTACCATCTTAACCAGTCAAAGAGCACAAACAATCCAATGGATGCTCAAACCTGGTTAAGTGCGGCAATTGCCAACCAACAAACCTGCCAAAATGGTTTCATTGACTTCAACTTGGCCTCTAATTTACAAAACTTTCCATCTATGTTAACCAACTTTTCAAAGTTACTCAGCAATTCCCTGGCCATAAATAAGGCCACTGTTACATCCTCTTCTACTCACAGTACTACTGCTAAACAAGTTGGCAATCGACGCCTGCTTGTCACCGGATTCCCAGCTTGGCTTTCGGCTGCTGATAGAAAGCTCTTGCAAAAAACAGGTGCACCAACCAATGCTGATATCGTGGTGGCTCAAGACGGTTCTGGTGATTTTGAGAGCATATCCGAGGCAGTGGCAGCAGCTGGTGGGGGCAAAAGAACTGTTATACACGTGAAAGCTGGAGTTTACACGGAAAATGTGGTCATTAGTAGGTCAGCTAAAAATATAATGTTAATTGGGGATGGAATTGATGCCACGGTTGTTACTGGTAGCAAGAATGCTCAGACCACTACAACTTTTAGTTCGGCAACTGTTGGTAAGCTCTAATTTAATTAATCAAACATGCATTAATTTTTTGGCTGACAGTATTAATTTCCATACACATAAACTCCATTAAGTTTGAAAAAGCTCTTCCAACTGTTCCATTTTGGTTTTCAGCTTTGAGCTCAAGAATTTCATTATCTTTGAAATTTATACTATTTTTTCTTTTACTGAATTTTATACAATTTGTTTTACATATTTATCTATGAATTGAAAAGAAAATGGTAAATCAAAACATACCAGAATCTTGTTTTGTTGGCCTATATCCTACTTGCCAAATTGACAAAGACACATGTTCGTTAAAACAAATTAATAAACATGTTTATTAATTAAAAACAGAACAAAAGTTTTTTTTTATCTGGGATCTCTTAATATTTGATAGTAATTTTGGATCTTAATGATTCGAAGTTAAGCCAAATCAATATTCATAAGAGAAATAAATTCTTTTAAATTTATTTTTTTTATTCATAATATTTAAAATCAAAATTTTACTTAAAAAAATTAAATTTTTAATCACTCGAACCAATAAATATCGATCAAAACAACGGTTACGAGATAATAAAATGACAAAGAACGAACATGGTTTAAATATAAAAAAAAAAAAATAATGCAAATTATCAATAGTAAAAAGACAAGTCAATTTTTTTTATTAATTCGATATTCTTTTGTTTGTCTCCTATTTCACCAACAAAACAACATAACGAGAAAACAATAGTAAAAAAGGTAAATAAACAACTTTTTCCTTTCCTTTCCACGTAATTAATCAATAATTCATATCATTTGATTACTCACTGAATTTATTTCTTCTTTCAGGTGTTTCGGGTGATGGCTTCATAGCACGTGATATAACCTTTGAAAACACCGCCGGACCCCAGAAATACCAGGCGGTAGCCCTCCGGTCCGGCTCCGATTTCTCAGTCTTCTACCGTTGCAGCTTCAAAGGTTACCAGGATACATTATATGTCTACTCTCAACGCCAATTCTATCGTGACTGTGACATTTATGGAACCATAGACTTCATATTTGGCGATGCTGTTGCTGTGTTTCAAAGCTGCAACATCTACATCCGTAGACCAATGAGCAATCAAATGACCACCGTCACAGCACAAGCAAGAACCGACCCTAACGAGAACACAGGCATAATTGTCCATAATTCACGCGTCACGGCGTCGTCAGATATGAGGGCTGTTCAAGGATCGTTCAAGAATTATTTGGGGAGGCCGTGGCAGAAATATTCAAGAACAGTGTTCATGAAGAGTGCTTTGGATGGACTGATTGATGCAGAAGGTTGGTTACCATGGAGTGGAAGTTTTGCCTTAAATACCCTTTACTATGCTGAGCATATGAACACTGGTGCCGGAGCAAGTACAAGTGGAAGGGTGAAGTGGGGAGGATATCATGTCATAAACGCCGCCGAGGCCGCAAAATTTACTGTGGGGAATTTTCTGGCCGGAGATGCTTGGATTCCGGGCACCGGAGTGCCATTTGATGCTGGCCTGTGATATCCTTTATGGAGTTGGAGGTGATTTCGCCATTTGGAAATTGTAGATAGGAAAGTGACCTTAGATGTTGAAATTGCATAGGAGATGCTAAATATATCTTTTATGTAGTTGAATTTGTCAAAGCGAAGAAAAAAAAAAGTTGTAGTAATTTGGTATTAATGCTGAATTTCATGAAATTATTGTAGGCTATTTATGAAGAAATTAAATAATAAAAAAGAGTTTTTTTATCCTACTGAAATCGGTTATTTTATGTTAATATTACTTATAAATTAAAAAAATTATATTTAATATATTATTAATGTATAAATTTTATATAATATTAATAAATAATAAAATTCATTTAATTAAAAAAATAATTTTAGAAAAACTAAAATTTTTATATTTATCTTAAAATTTTATATAAAATTTTATTTAGATAGATAATAAAATTGATTATAATGAAATTAAAATTAATAATAAAAATTATTGTAATTATAATTTAAAAAATTAATTTGATTATTATTAAAAAAATTAATAAAAATTAATTTAATTTTATTAAAATTAATATTTAAATTTAATGGATGATGTAATAAATTTAATTATATTATATGAAAAATACGATAAAATCTAAACGGAGGCTAAGTCATGGGTTATCCATGGTCAGCCCCCATGCCCCTTTGAGATTTTTTTTCCGAAGAAAGTTGAGACCCTGCAGGCTTTTTGCCACGTGGACTCCTCATTTAAAAAAAATCAATAACATAGATTAAAAAAAGTATGATAATCATTACACCATTAGCATCGTTCAATCAACACCGAAAAAACAGTGGACTCATTACTTCTTAAAGTATCCGTAACCGACATATATTCCTTCGATATAGGTATTAATAAAATTCTCAAAATTTATGGATCCATGTGTCATACATATATCGATATCTTACCTTTTTTTTTTCGAATAACATAGATGATTATAAATTGAGATTTATAAGAATATAAACATTAGCGTGTAATTAGGGGTGGATCCAAAATTTCTTTTGCGATATCCATTTATATATTGTATAAAAAATATCGTTGAATATATTAATTTTATCAATAAAAAAAATTCAAATGAAAATTTGGATAATGTCTTAAAAAAAATTTATTCTAAAATTTTTTTAATAATACATATGGATCCATCTCCACGTATAATCTATACTCTATAGGATTATCAGCCAATGAAAAAAAGAGGGAGGCTAGCTTATTGGTTTGGTATATTTCAATTCTCCTTTCATACTGTATATTGATATTAATTAGTCTGCTTTCCTCATGAAATAGTACTACTAATATATAAATACACATAGTATTAAGGAATGTAAAAATATATTAGATCCACATCTTACTAGACCATTTAAAAGAAGGGTTCGTTTTTATACAATGATAATAAAATTTTTAATTTCACAAAAAGTATTAAGAAATTATTAAATATTTATTTTATTAATTTTTATAATATTAAAATATAAAAATTTTACTATCAATAATCAATGATGTGATCATGTCTCTTTTAAAAATTAAAATTGATAAGTGAAGTTTCCCAATCCAAGGTTATGTCCATCAAGTCATGTCTCCAAAGTCGTGGATTCAAGTCTCCTTTTGCTTTTGTGGCCAAAAAAAAAAAAAACAATCCTTTTGGTTCTTTACACTTTCGTTTTTCTCTTTTTGAAAAAGGTAGCAATTCTGGTTGAAAAGTTTCAATTAGGCAGATGGTTAGTCTCATCATCAACAATTGAAGGGTTTGGATACGTGGTTTTAAGAATCAAAAGACAAGCTTTAAATAGCACTTGAAAAACAAGTTTCCCTCTCAAAAAAAAAAAAAATACTTGGCTGCCTAAACTTTTGTTATCCCTATCTAGCTCTTAATCTTAAGCTTCAAATATTTAAAATTTGTTCACAACCTTCAGGGCCCCTTCGACTGAAACATCATCGGCCCTATGATGATCAGTTTGATAGACACAGCAATTAGAAACTTTAAGTCATGCCGCATATACCGCTTCAAACCCAACTCTTCTTTTGAAAACAAAAAGACCCCAAATTATCAGAGAATAATTGATTCAAATGACAAAAATGTGTTCTTATTTTTATTGTTTTGATTCAAATCTATTACGAGATTATAAAAAATAGTTTTTTATATATTTATTAAATTTGATGTAAAATATCATAAATTTTTTATGATAAATCTATTTGAACCAACCCAAAAAAAAAAAAAAAAAAAACTAGCAAAACCGAGAAGTTAATGCTTAATAAAAAAAAAACCCCAAATTTAGGATGACACTCGTTGGATTTTTCCTAACATTTTTCGCTTTTCTTTTCAGATTTTAATAACATGCAATTATTACCTAAAATATTTTTTTCAAAGATGGTATTATTATCCGCTACTATTTTGATTCACTTTTTTATCTAAAGATAATATTTATTTTTACATTCAAAGACGAAACAAGCAAGCACAAGTTAATCGGGAGTTAGTTTAGTTGTTACTGTTAGAAAAATGTTTGGATTAGAACAAGTAAATTTAAAAATAATGATAAAAAAATAAAATTTTAAATTTTAAATGTTTAGGATTACAATACAAAAATACTGTAAATAACTGAAATGTCTAAAAAAATATTTATAAAATAATAAAATATTCGAAATATAAATAATATAATGATTTTTTATCCCACGAGTATATTTTTCATCGTAAAAGCATTTTTTGAGTAGCTTTTTTATTTTACTTGCGAAATCTTTTAAACTAAAAAGCCATATTTTCCTGTTTAGCATTGAAGTTGGATCAAAAGCAGTTTTTAAATCCAAAAGCTATTTTCAACATCAATGCTAAACTAGGCTTGAGTCTATAAGACCACTATCAGAAACCTTTTTCATAAGACATGGAAAAGAAATGAAATTGCATCGTTACAATCCCTTTCTCTTCATTTCATTCAAATAAATGAAAATTGATAAACCGCCAAATATAAGCAACATGACAATTTGGAGACAATTCAACCAAAACGAAAATTGGAGAGAAGATAGGAATAATGCAAGAACATGCAAATTATGAGTGTTATTTGTCAGTTATGATACTTCTCATGTACTCATGGTACGGATGCAGAACGACAAATATATATATATATAAATACACACACACACGTAGGTTGTCTAACCAGAACTTGAACAGTGTATTTATGCTTCCTTTGCTAAAAATACTACTTTGCCTTATCTGACAACCCTTAACTTATAGCAGTACGATGATTCTATGTGATAACGGAAAAGTATTAAGATAGTTTTAGAGCAACCTCCCCCTGATATCAAACGCAAGAGTCAGCCTACATATATATACATACATATATATATATATATATATATGTAGACAGAAGCTTTAAGGATGTCTCACAAGAGGAGCAAGTGCTTCTTGGGAATCTCTTCCAGTTTTTGATGAATCCTTTTCCTACCGCTCAATGTACAGTCGGATAGTTGCACCTTCTGAACCAATTCCCGAGAGATGGAAAACCTATAGACAGGGAGTGAAATCAAATAAATAAAAGTTTCAATAACAGCTACTTCAGATGAACTATAGAAACAATTTTCACTCCACTAGAAAACAACAAGATTCACTCAGATAACTTTATAGTAGGAAAAAAGTGAGGAAGTTGACTTACCAATTGTGATCCATCAATACCCTGGTACTCTGAAACAGAACCATCAACAGGATCCCTGCATTCAAATTCAACAGCGCTGACAACATTTGAGACATCTGAGCAAGCCCCCTTCACTATATTGCATGATAAAAAGCAGAAGATCATCAAAAGACACTAAACTATTTAACCGAGGAAAATCTTTAGGCATAACAACTGCAACCACCATAACCAATTTAACAGATGCAATGTAACAGATTCACTGATGTCATTCCTAAAATTTAATGGTTGGCATTGATTCCTAACAAGATCTTCAAAACTAGGTCCAAAAAAGAGCAAGTCTCCAAGTTGTATGAGATTTAACTCTAATTGAGCATCATCACAGGCTGCAAAGCTGCTAGACTACACCCAGATGACCCAAAAATATAGTAGTGTTTATTAAAATCATAGAAGATTGAAGAAAGACACCATTTGTTGGCCCTTTAAGTGAGCCAAACATAACTGTGGTACGATAGCGTCATCATTATTGGACCAATAAGTTTTCTTCAGAGAAATGGACCAGGAAGTATCAAAGCAACTATGGGCAACGCAATGTAAACTTGGAATATAAACCTAGATTCAAAGGCAATTTAGAAACAAACAAAATGTATACACAATTAAAGCAAAACCAACTTAGCCCATCAGCAGTGATATTGGAAGGACCAACTAATAACAAGGTCATAAACTTTTTAAATAAGTTAACCCTATGATTTTGAGAAAAAAAAAGTTTTTTTACAAATAATTTGAATTAAAACCAAATTCTGAAATGAAAGCCATTAGCCAGTTCAAAAGACCATCAAAGTAGCAGGTATAACTATAGCACTGACCGCAACCCAATAAACAAGGATAAGGGAAGAAGGTTCATTCAGTATCAGGTACTCAGCCACGAGTTAGAAGATAACACCACTTACAGCAGTTACTCTCGCTTAAAGTTGTTTGACTTTAATAAATTCAAGCAATCAAAAAATATGATGCAAGAAGAGAATGGCATTTGTCCAAAATAAACTACAAAACAGTGGCATAATTCCAGGAAGTGGTTCAGTGGTTCTAAAAGAGTATATATACATTCGTATTTTCATGAAGGGATGATTGGAATTTGACCAGATATGCCATTAAATCCTTTGCTGCACCAGCATCCACATTCTTCATGAAAGAAAATGAATTAGTTAGATACTCTCTCAATACATTCATGGCCAAACACAAAAACGGACTTCAAAAACGTTATACCTCATAGTCTTATCGAGTATAATAGTGTCGACCATAGGTAGCCTAATGCTGAAATGCTGACGAACTATATCCTCAAATGTCACAAGCTTATGCCCATCAAGATTTTCCTTATTTTTATATGCAAGTATTGAAAGACAAGCCAAGACAGCCCAGATTCCATCTTTCTCACATATATGGTCGGAGCCTGTCCACAAATAGATTGTTCTGCAAGTTTCTTATTGTTCCAAACAAAACTGATGTACTTCATATTTGGCAATCAAA